GAAAGGGCTTTAAAGTTTAAGAAGAGAACTCCCAGAATGACCACCATCTGGGAGCTCTTTAACGCTATTGCTGCAACATGGAAAAATGCCGTCATTGACAACATTGAAGAGGAATACTATCGACTGGTTCAGCACCTCCATGATTGTGCGAGGAATGCCAAGAGAGAGAGAAAAAAAAAAGCCTGTCTTCAAAAACTCTTGAGCTTATTCGCCAACGTGCTTTGGCGCATGCCTCAGGCAATCACAAGCAGACGTCCAAGCTCGCAAAGCAGTGCAGAGATGCGATTAAGGAAGACCTCAAAGAGAGAAGAGCAGCTGTTCTGGCAGATGCAGCAGAAGCTGGGAAAAGCATCCATAATGCCCACCTGTCCTTCGTCAACTACAATTCCAAGTTGACTGCCCTCTGACGTCATGATGGATCGCTCACATCTTCCCTAAGGGCAATGGAGAAGATTATCCATGACTTCTACTTGGATCTCTTCGATAGCCACGTCTACCTGCCCACATACCAAATTCTGAAGGATGGATATGTCATTCTCAAAGTTCTCCCTTCCAAAATCTGACATGCCATTTCATCGGTAAAGAACTGAACAGCACCTGTCCCAGACAAGGTCAGACCCGAACATCTGAAGAATCTGCGATCAGTACTCATCAATACACTGTCTCAGCTCTTCACGTGCTACCTGTCTGAATGCAAGGTTCTGTCCCAGTGGAAAACCAGCAGGACTGTACTACTGTACAAGAAGGGAGACATCCACGATATTGCCAACTATCACCCAATCTGCCTATTGTCTATCATCTACAAGCTGTTCACTCAAGTCATCCTGAATAGTATTGGCAGAACACTAGATAAAGGACAACTGTGCTAGCAAGCCGGGTTCCAAAAAGGATTCAGCACCATTGACCATACTCACACTATAACCAAGCTCATTGAGGTTTCTCGGGAGTTCAAGATGCCGCTCTGTTTAACGTTCATTGATTTAAAGAAGACCTTTGATTCTGTTGAGACGGAAGCGGTCATTGAAGCCCTAGCCAAACAGTGCATTGAAATTCAATACATCAGCATCCTCCGTGAGCTGTATTGCGGATTCACAACCAGGATCTCACCATTCTCCAGGGAGGTGATCATTGACATCAGAGAGGGGTTCGCAAGGTGATACCATTTCACCGAAACTCTTCAGTGCCACCCTCGAGAACATCATGTGACAACTGGAATGGGAAGGGATGAGAGTGAAGATAGACGGTCATCAACTACACCACCTCCGCTTTGCTGATGACATTGTTCTAATAACACCAAACATTAGCCAAGCAGCACAAATGCTGGCAAACTTCAACCGTGAGTGTGGAAATGTCAGACTCCAGCTGAATCTCACAAAGACAGTGTTTATGAGAAACAGTCTTGTTAGTAATGTTCCATTCACTCTCAATGTAACGACCATCTCCAAACGCAACAGTTATGTGTACCTAGGTCGAGAAGTCAATATGACGAATGACCTGGCAGCTGAGTTGAGCAGGAGGAAGAGAGTGGCTTGGAACGCCTTCAAGCGCGTTGAAGAAATAGCTAAGAGGACAAAGAACCTCCGGCTCTGGGCACATCTCTTTGATTCCACTGTTCTTCCTGCATTAACATATGTCTCAGAGACCTGGGCCCTACGAGAACAGGACGAGAACACTATTTGGGTCTCCCAAAGAGGAATTGAAAAAGCTATGCTTGGGAAGTATCATGTTTCACTTAAGTGAGAGAAAGAATCTGGAGTTCGGACCTCCTTCAACAGTCAAGAATCAGGGACGCTGTGTCTTTTGCCAAGGCATCGAAAATCAGATGGGCAGGACATGTAATGAGGTTTACAGACAACTGCTGGACTAGAGCCATTACAGACTGGATTCCACAGGACGTCAAAAGACTGTGTGGCCGCCCACCTACAAGATGGTCAGACTTCTTTGTGAAGACCCTGAATGATTGGTTTGAGGCTCTTCGTGATCCTGGAACAAACAGACGCCATTGAGCTACACTAGCATGCAACAGGGACGAATGGAGACGTTATTGGCGCCCACTCAAGCAAATTGATTAATGGGAAGTCCAGTGATCAAGTTTTTTTAAAAAAACAATTTTCTACTGATATAATTCTCTTTAATTATTGCATTCATACCATTGTGTGATCATGGCATTTTGTTATAAGCAATTCTTTGGTGCTAAGAAGGTTTGCTACTGTTATTCTGTTGCTGTTGCAAATAAAATATTTTTACTGAAATATTATTTATAAGTATATTCATAAATTAAACTTTTGAGAGTAGATATGCTATATTAAATACATGCTAAAGTTCTAATAAATCTGTTGAAAACTGTTTTAGTGGTATTTATTTATACTCTACCCCCTGCAAAGACTAAGGAGTATCAAGCATTCAACTTTTCTCAGTCTCATAGAAGAAAACTATCTCATTGTCTCTTGTTGTATAGTATTTTAATTATTATAATATTGGGTGTTTATTTAATTTGGCAGCAACTTCTACTTACTTTACTGCAAACTATTTCTATGTATTAGTCATGGACCTTAAAAATGTGGGACACTGTACATGTACCTGTGTTTTTCATAGAGACATTGGTAATACTCTCCAAATAATTTAATGTTATCATATTTATATGAGAGGGAGAGATAAAGAAGGGGAAGGGATAAAAAGGAAGGGAGAACATGGAAGATAGTGGGATTGGAAAAGAACACTACCACTGGTAATTACCAATTAGAGATTTTATCACCAATACTTAGGAGTCTGCAGTACTTAAGAACATAATTTCTCCAAACACACTGTGTGAATTTATCTAAAAATAAAAGCCACTTGATAACTACGCAACCTTAGGAAATGAACTTAAAATCTCTAAGCCTCAATTTTCTCATTGTAAGTTGGAGCTAGTGATAGTACATATGTCATAAAAGTTACTATAAATATCAAGTAAATATTTCACAGCAACTGACAAACACAGCAGCTACTGGCCATTTCTATCACTAAATGTTGGTCAGGTCAGGCATGGAAGGGCTAAGCACATGCTCTTTCCTGCTTTTTTCTCCAGTGTTCCATGTTAATTTGGAACTCTGCTTTTTATTTACATTTTGTATTTCTGTGGAGCTAAATTAAAGAATTAACATGCAGTTTCCCAAAGAAAATGTGTTATGGCTTAATAAAGGATAAAATCTATTCAAGAAGCAATCAGCTTTAATCAGTCTGAAGTATTGTGGAAATGAGAGAGTTTTACATCTTCCATTTTTCAGTTATATATATTATGTAAAAAAGGGGGAATATTTATTTTTGAGATTAATTTACATTTTGATACATACCCAGCTAATATTTCTAAACTTACATTTTCAAATCAATAGATTAGCTCTTTATTTTCTTTCTCCTAAAATATGTTATAACTTTCATACTCTATATTATTACACTCAAACCCGGAGTCATTGGATCTGAACCTTATTATACCAGGAGCAGTCCAAACAGCAGCTGTTGAAAGAGTCCTAAACTGCTCTAAACTGCTTAATCATAGTTATAATACAAATTAACGTAAGTTATGTATGATGCTGAAAACTAACAGAAAGGAGCTGGAAAATTTGCACTTATCTCTAATAAATATTTTGTGTGTTTTAAGTAATCATTATAAATCTTGTATAAAGCCCATTAAAGGCAATATGTAAGGTTTTTTTCTATAAAAATGACCATTTTTGACAGAACAAGATAGCTTACATAGAGTATATGCCTAGCATGTGGAATGCCTGGATTGATTCCCAGCACAGCATGACCATCCCCCAAATACTGCCTGATGTAGCCCAAGTGACTTCCAAGTGTTAGAATCATTAGTGGGTAATTTTAAAAGCAGATGTTGAGTTGGGAAAATGGCAGAGAGACCAGGTTTAGAAAGGGGATACATAAAAGGTCCAATAGATTTTGAGTTTCTCTTGGGAAATACCTAGTAAAAATGAAGAGCAAAGACTAGGATTTTTCTGACCCCCGGTCTGCAGAGAAAGACCTACCCAATGTCCTTAGTTCATCCTCTTAATATAATCTCATTATGATATAACTAGCATTCTGCTCTTTCTCCTTTCCCTTACTGGACTTTTCAGTATGCATTATGGGTTGTTGTATGCAAGTAAGCAATTTAGAATCATAATCCACATTGTCAATCTTCTACGTAAGTCACATTTAAAATCCCACAATGTAACATAACCTCTAATTTCATATCAAATTATTAAAAAATTACTGTTTAGGCATAGCAGAGTCAGCTACAATTCATATGTTCTTTCCATTCCTGTTTTCCCTGGAGTGCCCTGTACTTGAATCAACTTGCTTGCTTTGTTATTGCAGAACACGTCTCTGTGTTTGAGATCTTCAGTTCTTTGCTTATCATACAAAATTACTGAGCACCCAGTCCACCTGGTGACATTCTGATATCATCCTGATGACACAAGCATTATCTATGTCAGATTGGCCACTAATGGCTGTGGCACCTACTCAAAATGACCATTTATCAGAAATATGCCAGATGTTTTTCCATTTCTTTTATTTTTATTTATGTTTTAATTAAGTATTATCAAATGATGTTTATTGAACTTTGGTCACACTGTTTAACAATCATACATTGGGGATTTTTAGTAGCTAATTTAATGATCCATTTAGTAATAATTTTTTTAAAATGAGTATCATTAATGGAAGAAATATCAGCAACATTAATGGGAGTGCTACAAAGATCTTGGGTATCATTAAAAAAGTAATAAAAAACTAATTCCTTTGATGTCTTCATAGAAATTTTCAAATTAAATGAATATCAGGTATGAATAATAAAAATATTGAACACATTCAAAAATCAAGTGGTCTTATAAAAGTATAGTTCATTATAATCTGAAAATGAATGCCAATAAATTAAGTGAATTAAATCCATTTCTCACTATTGTACATGCAAGTGTAAGCTCAGATATGATTAAAATTATTTAATTCTTTTTCCTTTCTGTTTACAGAAAATGACCATCATTTGAATGGCTTGACAACCAGATTAGAAAATGCTGATGCTAGAAATGGAAATCTCTTAAGAGCTCTGAATGACACTTTGGGGAAGTTATCAGCCATTCCAAGTGGTAAGCATATAGAAGAGTGCCAGTTGACCTAAACTCTTTGGAAAAAAAAATGCTTTGATTTATACTATGTTTTTCAAACATTGCACTTGTCCTATCGTCAAAATAGTATAACACTGTATAGTACTGTCCTCCATTGTTCGTCGATTTGCTCGAGCGGGCATCAGTAACGTTTCACAACAAATTGTGAGGCGTGTTGTTACTGTTTTTGGCATATCGAATACATCACGGGTAGCTTGCCAGGCTTTGCCGTGTGGATCCAAATATTAGAAACTGGTTTTCCTATTTATAAATTAGGCTTTGTGAGCATAGAAACTAGACCATATTTTACTTTTTTTGGTCATTTATCACATTTTTTTCATTTTTTTTCATTTCATCATCCTGTTATTCATCATCCTGTTATTCGTCGATTGCCTCGAGCAGGCCCCAGTAACGTCTCTTTCATCCTAGCCCTGAGATTATATTCAAGGCTCTTTAGGAGAATGAGACCCATCATTGTTACTGGTATTTGGCATATTTGGTACACCACGGGGAGTTTGCCAGACTCTGCCCTGTGGGCAGGCTACATTTGATACATTTATATAAACATGTTACAAAATGACCATACAGCCAATCTTTTTATTATGTTTCCTTCATGTTTCAGCCCAGAAAACTGTATCAGTGGGAAAGAATATAGTCATACTCAATGGGAACAATGAACATGAAATGTGTAATTCAGTAAGAAATATGCTACTTTCAGGGGCTGGGAGTAGGGGGGGGGGGTGTACAACCAAAGGAAGAGAAGATGTTGAGAGGTTTATGTATGTTATCTGTTACGTCAGCTGGAGCGGTAGCACAGCAGTAAGGCATTTGCCTTTCGTGCAGCCGACCCGACTGCTTTGCTGGGTTCAATTCCTCCACCTCTCTTGGAGAGCCCCGGCAAGCTACTGAGAGTATCTCGCCCGCACAGTAAAGCCTGGCAAGCTCCCTGTGAAGTATTCAATATGCCAAACACAGTAACAACAAGTCTCACGATGGAGACATTACTGGGCCATTCGAGGAGATCTGTTATGTATGGAACCCTATGTATGTTATATGTTATATATGAGCCCCTTTGTATGTTATCTGTTACGTATAAAAACAGGATACTACTATAAACCACAGTGCAAAAACTTAAAAAAAAAAAAAGAACACCTCTCATAGAAGCAGACTGGTGGATGGGAGGCAAATGGGGCAGGGCGGGGTGGGGGCATTGGTGGAGGGAAGTTCACATTTGGTGAAGCAATGGGTATTGAAAATCATATGATTGAAATCCAATCATGAACTATTTTAAATTACATGATGACTAAAATTTAAAGAAAAACTACAGCCACATAGATACTGTTGTCTAAAATGTTGATGCATTTCCATGAAGTTGCAGTTTATTATACTACCTGCAATAATTGGTAAGAGTCAATTGTCTTTTAGGATATCTTGGCGAAGTTCAGTTCTTAAGTGTTTCAGCTTTCAGATTAGAGAAATAATGCAGCCAGTAGAAAGCTTGTTTTGCAAGCTGCCAACTAAACTTTGATTCCCTGAACCCCTGTGGTCCCCTGACTCCATCAGAAGTGATCCCTGAGCACAGAGTCAGGAATAACTGAGTGCAGCTGGGAGTGGCACAAACAAACAAAAAGAAAAGTTTCAGCTTTCAAAACCATTAATTGTTGAACTATGCTTGCATTATCTTTCTACTTAATAAAGTACCTTAAGTTATTATTCAATCTTAATTGCTGAAATGATGGTTGATTTTAGCAGCAGATATTATAACACAAGAATTATTAGTAGTTGTTAAGTGCTTCTTCAAGTTGCATATGTTAGATATCTATAATTCTCATACTAGTCCTTTTAGATGAATGTAATAATTCTTCTACTTTACCAAGAGACGTAAGATAGTGACAAATATTAATATCAGTAAGTTGTCTGAAATTTGAACCCCGCAGTGACCTTCAGAGTTTGTGGGCTTAGCCACTAATAAACATACATTATTAGGTACTATATGCACATTCTTTCTACAAATTATAGTTAAAAATTAATATGTTTATACAACATAAGAAATAATTATTTTTTTTTACTCTTATTTAACTGATTTGGGGCCACTCCTGACTCAGTGCTTACTCCTGGTTCTGTGCTCATGCATCAGATCAAATCCAAGCTGACTGAATGCAAGGCAAGTGCCTACCCACAATACTATCTCTCCATCCCTGATTAATTTTACTTTTGACCTCAAAAAACTAAATTGCTTTTCTTATTTTTGTGTCATCTCTCCAATATAAGAAAGGGTGTAAATATAAAATTTCATTGTAGAAAGCATATACCCAAATACATGTTCTAACTTACCTGGAAAATTCTTGTATCCTAAAATTTAAATGCATTCATCATATCCAATCTGTAAATGCAGATTCAATCTTAATCTCAGCTTTCACGAAGATAACATGACTCAGGTAGATTAGCGTCTCTGTAATATCCTCAGTGGCAAATTACAATATACCCTTAAGAAGTAATAACGAGCATTTAGAATAGTCATTTTGTTATTTTTAAGAACTAATCAGGTATGCATAGCAAAAGTTCCCAAGAAAATTTCATTTAGCTAACAATGCATTTCATTTGTCGCAGCTGAATGAGGCGAAGTTCAGCCTTTCTCTGGTGAATGTGTGCCGCTGAGACCAGCCAGCTGTGGCCTCCGTTGACAAGCATGGAGTAAACCACTAACTCCAGACCCTTTGCTTTGTTTTTCATGATCTTTTCTGTTTATAGACACAGCAGACAAACTGCAAGCTGTGAAGGACAAGGCAAGACAAGCTAATGATACAGCCAAGAGTGTACTGGCACAGATAAGAGATCTTCACCAGAATCTGGATGGCCTGAAGAAAAATTACAAACAACTAGCCGACAGTGTAGCCAAAACAAATGCTGTGGTCAAAGATCCTTTGAAGAACAGTAAGATCGCCTTTTTCAATTTGATTGTGTCATTCATTTCTGATATTCTGGGCTCATAAAAGTTTGAGTTGGAAGATAATAGCGATGCCACTGCCCTCCTCATTTTATAGACTGGGTTTAAGAATTGAGTGTCCTGCAGTTTCAGAAACAAAAAACAAATGCCCCAGCTCTGCCAAATGCTTATTTTCATCTAAATTATTTCCAGCTGAGATTAGGAATTTCTAGAATCTGTAAGGTATTTGCTTTAGGGATACCAAATAATTATTTTTTTTCTTTTTGGGTCACACCCAGTGATGCTCAGGGGTTACTCCTGGCTCTGCACTCAGGAATTACTCCTGGTGGTGCTTGGGGGACCATATGGGATGCTAGGAATCGAACCCAGGTGCAAGGCAAACACCCTACCTGCTGTGCTATCGCTCCAACCCTGCCAACTAATTTTTAAGCCTTTGATGTGACTAAAGTAAAGGTAAAGTAAAGGCCCTCCCGTTGATCATCGATTTGCTCGAGCGGGCCCAGTAACGTCTCCATTGGAGACTTTGTTGTTACTGTGTTTGGCATATCGAATACATCACGGGGAGCTTGCCAGGCTCTGCCGTGTGGGCGAGATACTCTCGGTAGCTTGCCAGGCTCTCTGAGAGGGGCGGAGGAATCGAACTCGGGTCGGCCATGTTGGCTGCGTGCAAGGCAAATGCCCTACCGCTGTGCTATAATATTATCTTTGGAAAAATTATTTTCTCAGTTCATAATGTTTCTTGAAACAGAACTCATGGAGCATACTTAATAGCAGGCCTCTTAGAACATGATTAAAATAGTGTCAGCTTGAAATGCATGAAAATTTAAAAGTACTGATGCTTATCCTTTGTATGACCGTTAATGTTTTCTGGAAACTGAAATATTTTTCCAGGTCATACAAAAAATATTTCTTTACTTCTTTTCTGTATTTCTTAAATGTATTGTTATAATGACTGAGAAATGTAGGATATGTTAAAACCATTATGATGAGGTAAAGAACAGTAAAAGCCAATAATATTTTGTATAGTTTTACATTCTATTGAGTGATTAAAAACATCACAACATGTAGGTTTTAGCAAAGAAGAAGCTTAATATCTTTGTTTCAGTTCACTTCCAGGAGACTAACTCTCTTTATATACCAACATTTTCACTATCAAAAGGTTACTTAACAAAAACACTCTTGTTAACTTTCTATGCTCTATAATACAGAAGTTTTGTTGACTAAAAGCAGAACCTGATTTGAACATTCCAGTCTCAAATCAAATGCTAATGATGGTATGAAATAACAGACATCACTAGTAGGAATCCTTCACAAGCAAAGAGTACAAACACATATATCATTTATTTCAGAGCTTGGATGATTTAGTCCATGCCATTTCTTCAAGGGGGGAAAGAGGAGATGTAATCATTTTTTAAATTGTTTCTAATGTACACCCAAAGTTAGCTTCTCACTGTAGTTCAAAAGATCTTTCTGATAAATGGCTTAGAGGCACTCTCAATAGTAATGTCTGCTCCCCAAAATGAATGAAAATAAGTTTGTTTTTTAAATTTAAGATCTATCTAGATTGAGTTTAGAATGATTATCAGCTCATAGTGGCTCTTTTTCACACTATCTCCAATTTCTTTGATTATACCATCTATTGGCAGTTGATTGTCTATAATATTAAACTGCATTTTTTAATATTTAAAAAAACTTTAAGTATGAAAAAATGTCTGCTAAGTTATATTTTTATATGTTGATTTGATAACAGTTTTACTTATAGTTCGCCTTTGTAATCAGTACCAATTGCAAACTTGTATTTTTTATAGTTACTACTTTATTGTAATTTTAAAATATTTATAAATTTTCTAATTTATTTTTGTCTCTCTTCCACATGAAATTACCTGAAGAAATCAGTATGTATATGTTTACTTGGCATTACCTTTAGAATCTTTCAGCTTCATTGCCTGTTTTAGGAGTCTTAAGCTTTGCATGTTCTTGTGTTTGATACTGCTTTAAATATTACAGAGCATATCTTTACAAAGTCATAGTTTAATGATGCTGTGAAGCAAAGGGATACTGAATTACAAAATATTAGTATCGGATATATTTGATATAAAAATGTTTTAATTGTGTCTGAATAATTAGTGAAATATATATGTGATAACCACATAATAGTAAAAAAAATAGATTTAAGTATAAAGATTGAGCTTCATGGCACATCTTATAATGAAAATACTGAAATTTAAATTACTTCTTTGCTGTAATATTTATTTACTATATAAAGTTTATGCCATTGTTACTTTCAGCAACTTTCCCTTTCCTGTTAACAAATATTCTCCACTTCTGAAGAATTATATTTACAGAATCACATGATGTAGTCAACAAAATGAGACCTTAACAAATAAGAAGTCTCTGAAGCATGAAAGTAACATCTCTTAAACACCCCATCTTAAGTTCAAAATCAAAATAATAATACATTTTAATATACTAAAACCTGAGAAATTTATTGAGACTGTACTCAGCCAAAAATTATTACTATTACATCACTAAGCAAGCATTGAAATAAATAATTTAAGCAATCAACTCTCTAAGTTAGACTAAATAAAATTGACCCAAAGAAAAGACGATGAAATGAATGAGAAAATAAATCTCAATAAACGCAAGAGGTAAATCTTTAAGACTATAGAGATTAAAAAATAGATGATTAACAGGGTTAAGAAAAATAAAGTGCAATAGGCAAGAGAAGATGTGATGACACATAGGAATAAATCTAAAATACAAAAAAGAGAACTTGAAACTACATACTACTAAATTGTAAAGCCCAATAGAATTCCATACTTTTTTAGAAAAAAATAAGTCTATCCTCAAACATGATTTTCAAATATATTCAAATAGTTATAAAACAAACAGTTTTTAAAATATGCTACACAAGAAAGCATCATACTTAGTAACACAGGATTTATCTTTCAAACCTTTAAGAAGATAACTCCCACAAATATTACCTAAATTCTTCCAGAAGATGGAGGGCGGGGCCAGGAAGGTTAGTGTAGAAGGAAAATTTACAGATTCCAGCATAGAATAAAATCGTCATGGAGTTTTGTAATAAAACGATTCATTATTTTTATAGTCAGAAGTTATATTTGCTTAATGTCTTTCCTCTTAAAAATTTAAATCTAAATCAAATTTCCAGTATTTTTCTTTGTATAACATAATAACACTCTAGAAACAAGTGGAAATGGACAAATGTTTTATAGAATTATACCTCAGATGAGTATCTCTGTTCATGTCATTTGTGTTTATAGTTATATAATAACTTTGACCTTAATAACCTGCATTTTAGAAAGAAAATAGCTCTTGATCTATTAAAGTTAATAACCAAGCATAATTAACAATCCAACTCATATTTTTGAGCATGAATTCTAAATACTTCAAAATCTAATTTTAAAGTACTTCTCCCCCTTCCTTTCTATTGAACACATCTTTGAGAATTAGTTCTCAGGGATCCATTGTTAGCTAGAGAACATATCATTCATAGTCTATCAGGGCTCATAGCCTTGGACCTTAAGCAGTTTCACTTTTTCATCAGGGTTGCAATGACGGGAAGCAGAATAATATATTTTCCAGAATATAAAAAATGACATGGTTGGGACAAGACTGACAGCATCCCAGAGATAGAATAATGACTTCCATGTGTAATTTGCCCTCTTCAGTAAAGCATACTCTAAAATTCTATGCATTAGTGATAAACTTAAATTTCTTAGGGTTAATTTTCCTAAAAGATTGAAGAGTTCATTTGAAATTATCAAAATTTGACCTTTTTAAGCTGACAAAATAGCAGCTTAATGTGATTTTACTTAAATTAGAGTGCAGGATAAGAAAGTATTTTTCCAAACAAACTGAAGCATGAAAGATTTAATTAAAGTGTAGCGTACGCCTTCAGTGTTAGGGTTGTTCAACATTGAAATCTTCTTCAGAAGACATTTTGATAGCTCTCTCTTTATGATGTGCAAATCAATACAGTGAGAAAAACAAAGAAAAGCAATTTTATGTGAGATCTATAATTTAAATACAGCCTTGACTTAGATTAGGTGACATTTTAAAGATGTTTTTATTTCCTTGAGTTAATGACTAAATTCTATGATGGATATCTTTTAGGCTGAAATAAAAATAAATATGAACTAATTTCATATTCTCTGTCTTCAGAGATTTCACCTTTCACCATTAAGCTAAAGTTGTTGTGATCTTTCTCTAACATCTTTTTCTCTGACCTGCTTGAATCACCACTCAAATCTTTTGTTTCTATCACAAACTTGAAAGTCATGGTCTTACTTTTGTCAATGGATGACCTAAAGCCTTTCAATCATTTAATAAAGCATTTTGCTCTCTTCATTTCTATGCATGTGTATGCCTGTCTATGTGTATCTGTGAATGTGATGGACATGTTAATACACACTTTCTTGTTCTGTGCAGTTGAAGATGCAGATGCCACTGTGAAAAATCTAGAACAAGAGGCTGATAGGCTGATAGATAAACTCAAGCCCATCAAAGAACTTGAGGATAATCTGAAGAAAAACATTTCTGAAATAAAGGAATTGATAAATCAAGCACGGAAGCAAGCCAATTCTGTAAGTTCTTTTTACTTTTAATATTAGTCACATTGTAATTTTCATATTATTCCCAGAAGCATTTCCTTTACCACTGTGTCCTGTCTGATGGTCTCTGAAGATTTTCCTTTGACTTGAAGCTGTTATCAAGGTGGGGAGGGGGAAAAGCACAAAAGAAGATTAGATTTTCCTTCTACAAAATTTCAGGAGGTATTTGATATAGAATAATCAGCACTTACTATTTTAGAAATGTAAAATTTCACTTATTTTATTATTTTTAGCAGAGTAATACTATAGAAACGAATAGATACCTTATGCAACTTTATGGATGAGAGTGCTTTCAACTGAAACAAAAAAGACCACCTGATGGAGTTCTAGTCATGATGAATGAGCAAGGTTCTTATAAAATAGTCAAGGGATATTTATTTTATAAATGCATTTTTGTCTAGGTATGAACAATAACAGAAAATTGATTATAAGTTTGTAAAAATTTAGGCAAGAATAAAAATACATTTTGGTTAAAAAATTTGTTATTAACCCACTTAGAAAACAATTATGATAGATGTAAAACTTTCTAGAAGGCAGCATTCCAATGAACTACAACAAAATTGTTTAAAGTCAATGTAAAACTATCCTAGTTAAATTATGTCATGATTACTTTTTTTTAGAAAAAGTTAAGTTGTCATAGTATCAAATTTAAACTAAAATCTTTTTAGAAATCTAAACTACTCAAAATTCTATTTTCTGAAAAAATGGAGCTAGAATGACAAGAAATGACTTTTCAAATCCATAAATCCGATCATGCATTCACAAGTGATGAGAATATTCTGCCTGACTAGCAACTATTTTTTTCTTTCACTTTCACTTGTGCTTGTACTTTTGCATTTACATTTAGACCATACCCTATTTTGCTAATGACTTAGTCCTGATTCCTTGCTCAGGAATCATTCCAGGCAGTGCTTAGGAGACTGTATGTGTGCAGGAGTTTGAACAAGAGTGGGCTCCATCTTCATACAGGGCACTTATCTCTCCAGCCCCTCATAGTGATGTTTACAATAATGACATAAACATTATCAGAGTGACAAGATGAAAATTCTTCACTATAAAATGTAATATGATCATTAATTTTCTTTCTAAACAGGAATGTAAAGATAGTTTGTTGAGCAGATGATAGAAACTTAAGAGAAGAGAGGAAATTTAGTAAGGGATAAAACTGTAGTAGCGGTAGCAAAAGAAAGGAAGAAATTGAAATATCTTTTCCATATTTTGCTATGTCAGTTTAAAGAAGCAATGATAGTAAATATTTTCTGGTGAATTACACATGGCCAAATATTCAGGCTTAGTGATAAAATGGGGAAATATGAACATTTTTATTGTTTATTCATTTTTAAATCTAAAAATATACTTAAGGTGCTGGAGCGATGGCACAGCGGGAAGAGCATTTGGCTTGCACGCAACCGGCCTGGGTTTGATTTCCAGCATCCCATATGGTCCCCTGAGCACCTACCAGGAGCATTTCCTGAGTGCATGAGCCAGGAGTAATCCCTATGCATCACTGGGTATGACCCAAAAAGCAAAAAATAAAATAATAATAATAATAATATACTTAAATTTTTCAGTTGAAGATGCTTCTCTGTAGCAAAAATATAAAATATAAAATTCTGGCATGTAAGTATTTTGGCATGAATCCTGTCTCAAAATACAAAATGAAGGAAACATATAAAATGAGTGCCAGAAAAAAATTACTCCTTATCTATGCCTCTCGAATAAATGTTTAACTGTTTTTAGAAAAATAGGTGCCTTATTTTTTGAAGATTGTTTTAAAAAAATTAAGCAGTATTTTTACAATATGTTTTGGTTGGGTGGAGTATGTTTTGGTTTTTGGTTTTGGACCTACATCCAGGTGTACGCAGGGCTTACTCATGGCTTTGTGGTCAGGAATCACTCCTGACTTTTCTTGGGATACCATATGCAGTGCCATGAATCAAACTCAGATCAGCTGTGTGCAACGGAAGAATCTTACCCACTGTACTGTCTCTCTGCCCCCAATAAATAGTATTTCTTTCAAATGAGTATCAAGGTTGATATTTGTATTATTTCTAAAGGTACTCATAATCTGGCATCAAGTCTGGATGTGGCCCTAATATATATTCAACATGATAAATAAAGACTTTTTAAAAGTGACTTTTTTTTAAAAATTTAATCACCAGAAATTACAGTTATTTTTGATTGAGTTTTAGGTGTATAATGTTCCAACATTAGTCCTCTCACCAGTGTCCACTTCCCTCCACCAATGTCCCCAGCTTTCTGTCTGTGCCCAGCCTGCCTCTATAGCAGGTATTTTTTCTCTCTCTGTTTTTCCTTTTAGGGTATCGTGCATGTCACTTTACCTCCTTTCAGCACCCAGTTCTCATCCAGAGTGACCACTTTCCTCTATCATTGTCATAGTGGTCCCTTCCCTGACTATTCTGCCTTCCCCCACAGTGCTAAGCCTTCTACTAAGGACCAGTTCTCCTGCTCTTCTTTTCTATTGCCTTGGTCATTAATAATCCCCCTACTAAGTTTTTTTTGAATCCCATATACTTATAAGTGATATATTTCTGTGTTTGTCCCTCTCCCTCTGACTCACTTCACTCAGCATGATAGTCTCCGGATATGTCCATGTATCAGCCCAGTAAGTGGCTTTATTTTTTCTGAAGACTGAGTGATATTCCACTGTGTATATGTATCATAGCTTCTTCTTTCAGTCGTCTGTTCTTTGTTTTGCCAACTCAAACTGAGTGCCTCACAGTCTTTTGTTAAATGATCTGGTTTCTGAATAAACATAATGTGGTGAAATTTCAATAGTTATAATAATTATATCCTCAATAATTATGATTTATTTCATGATGAGCAGTAAATACTGTTTCATGAGAAATGCCTGAGGGATGCCTATTGCTTAGATTGCTCAGTGGGTTTTCTTTAGAAGTCTTACTGAGGGCTCACGTGAAATATAATATTAACTGATAGAACCAAACATCCTAAAAATGTGTTTCAGAAATGTCTTACCTTTTCTCAAAGAAATTTATTCTGAAATTTCTTCTGGGTAAAATTACAAATGAATTAAAAAATTTATAATTTACAAATACAAAGAGGAACCAGAGATATAGCATGTAAGGCATGTGTCTTGCACACAATGAACCTGTGTTCAATCTCTGGCACTTCATATGGTCCCCTGAGCCCTTCCAGGAGTGATACATGAGTGCAGAGTCGAGAGTAAGCACTGAGCACCACTGGGTATAAACCATAAACAAAATAAAAATTATAGACCATGTTTTTGTTTATCTGTTTTAAATTAGTTGGGAAATATCTGTAAATGAAAATTCAAAATACGAGTCCTTTAAAAGAGAAAATCATTAGTTATTGACAATTATCAGCCATTTGGACTGCCTGAAATATTAAATTGTTGAGATTATATTTTAAAAAAATAAAACTTACAGAGAGTTTTTAATGTAAGCGTATAAGTGTTGAGCAATAGGGTAATTTATAAGATTAACTACTGGCATATTGGATATAACAACAGCATTTTGTTTAGAGAACCATACTTTAAGTATGTAAATCATGCTATAAAATAGATTAATTATAACTCCTACTGATGTTAATTACCTTTAGTTTTGAATTGTTACTCTCTTAGCCTTCAATTGTCAGATGGTGTTTCATTAGTCTCATTAGGCTTTTACACATACACACTACCTTTTCAACACAACAGTTAAATATTATAACCCCTACTTTTTTCTGCCCGATATAGATATGACAAAGACAGAAACATTCTGTAGCCAAATGACTATGTACTAAACACATATTCAGTTCTTCTTTAAATAGTAACCAAGTGCCTATAAATTTGTATAAAGTAAAGAAAGAACAAACAACACACAGATATGCACAATTGCTTTTGACTGCCATTCTAGAAAAGTAGGATATTATTTCCTTCCAGGGACATGGCTCAACCTTTCATTCAGTTCTATACATGAAGTATGTCAGAAGTTCTGATGATATAATGACAGTCAGAGGGTGCCTCAAATACTAAAATTAAGTTACAAGGTTTTTCTTATTTTAGTTTTGGTCCACTACATAAACTTCCTCAAAGAATTCACTATATCTCACACCTTTTTCTGAATATTAGAAATATCTTAGGACTGAATTTTCCTTACCTGATCTCTGGAATATTTTCTTTCTCTTGTTTTAGTTTATATATATTTTTATCTATAAGCCCTCAATAACCCTATTATATAGCTCCTATTCTTCAACATACTACCCTCTCTTAACCTTTACTACACATCTACTTTGTGATATTAACATTCAGAAAATGGGTATACATACCCTGGTTCTTTTTTCCTAAAATTTCTTGGCACTCACTAACTCTTAATACTTTCTGTATAAAAGAATTTTTTTTTAATTTCTGGAGTAAAGAATGTACTAGTGGACTTAAAATGACATGGCCCAAAAGAATATACTCCCCAGGATGCAGAGTAAAGTACTGGGTGAAGTACTGCATTCCAGTGCTGTGTCCCTTGGCTGGAAAGTTTCACACATAGGTAAGCAGTTTCTGTAGAGTAAGCACCCTAGTTCATCTCAACTGTAAAGACACTACACAAGGATTCATTAAGGTGAATGAATGGATGGATGTTTATTTTTTTCTCCTAGCACACAATCTACTTTGTGCAGAGATGCAAATTGATTAGCAGGCTAAGCAAGGAGTAATTGTATATAAGTGGTCTGTCAGAGATGTAGAAAATGTTGCAGATCTGCCTTATCACCAGGAGTTCTCAAGCCATCATTCATGCACATGTCCAAACCTGAACTCCCAGCACATTTTTCTGTTTTAGCTTCAACAAATTTGTCACTCAGGAGTCCTGGTGTTGCATATACCCATACCCTGATTAAATTCTTATAGACACCTTGTTGTATGATACTTTGTTTTGCATTTGCACAGTATTTCCTGATGGGAACCCTAATACCTAACTGGTTATATTCTAAGTGTTGAAACCACATGAATATCACAGTGCTTAAAGGGATGCAAAAATTGGGGCTGGACTGATAGCACAGCAGTTAGGGCACTTTCCTTGCACACGACTGATTCTCATTTTATCCCTGCCACCTCATATGGTCCCCTAAGAACTGTCAGGAGTGATCCCTGAGTGTGTAGCCAGGACAAAGCCCTGAGCACTACCACGTGTGACCCCAAAAGCCATTTCTCTAGAAAAAATAGAAATGAGAAAGGAAATCTACTGCTAGTGAAGGTCAAGAGACTTCTTTTGTTTTTTCTTTTTTTATTAGAGAAACACCATGAGGTACAGCTATAGGCTTACAAATTTTGTGCTTGGGTTTCAGTTATACAATGATCAAGTGCCCATCCCTCCACCAGTGCCCGTCATCCATCACCACGGGTCCCAGCATCCCCCCCCCTCATCCCCCCGTCCCATCCTGCCTCTGTGGCAGGGTATTCCCCCTTGTTCTCTCTCTCTTCTTTTGGGTACTGTGTTTTTCAAGAGAGGCATTGAGTGGCAATCATGTTTGGTCTATATAGACTACTTTTAGCATGCTTCTCCCACCCTGGGAGGGTCCTCACAACACCCTTCATTTGGTGCTCTCTTCTCTATCTGAGCTTCCTTTTCACCTAGAACGTGTGGCTGGCCTTCCATTCATGGAACAAAATTCCTGGTACTAATCTCAGCCATTCCTGGGTGTTAGTCTCCCTTTTTGTTGCTTTATGTTCCCCAGATGAATGCAATCTTTCTGTGTCTATCCCACTCTTTCTGACTCATTTCGCTTAACATGATACTTTCCATGTAGTACCACTTGTATGTAAATTTCATAACTTCATCTTTTCTAACAGCTACATAGTACTCCATTGTGTAAATGTACCAAAGTTTCTTTAACCAGTCATCTGTTCTTGGGCACTCAGGTTTTTTCCAGATTCTGGCTATTGTAAAGAGTGCTGCAATGAACAAACGATTGCAGATGTCACTTCAACTATACCTTTTTGCCTCTCTGGGATATATTCCCAGGAGTGCTATAGCTGGGTCAAATGGCAGATCAAGAGAATTCTTAAGGCCAGCATTTGAGTTAGGAGAAGTTCTGGTGGTTTGGGGACCACACCCAGTAAGGCTCTAAGATGTTTCTGGTTCAGTGCATAGGAATCATTGTTTCCTGACATGCTTAAGGACCATGCTGTGCTGGGAATAGAAGCTGCACATCTTGAAACAAAGTTGGTGCTCCAGCACATTGAGCTGTTTCATCAAAATTGAGTTTTCTATCTTTCTCTCTCTACCTTGAGACTGATCACTGAGCAAATGAACAGCTTTTGTCCAAAGCAAAGAATCTACATTGCTGTCCTGAAAGTACCATTTCATTGTCTACCTGACTCAAAGGAAATTAAACTAAATAATCACCTAGTGTACATTGGTAGTGAAGAAAGTCTTCCTAAATTTATGTAAAAAATGGTATGATCTGTCTCAGTTCTACTCATAAAGGAAGTTCTTCCTTAGCAATTTTTAGTAATTTTTTAAAGTACTAGTCAAAAGAAAAAGGAGCTGTTAAATACATTAGTAGTGATAGTCATTGGAAATTATTTCTGTTTCATTTCCTGGTGAGTTAATAAAAAGGTACAATTTATTCTGAAATATGTATTCTGCATGGAATGATTAATATTCTTATTATGAGAACACCTAGAACAAAATCTATTTCACCTCTTTCAACTGTAAGAACATGAAAGGATAGGTAATTTCCTCTAGGGGAAAAATGATTTCATATTTTAGTGAAACCCAAATCATTTAATTTTAAATTATAAAATTTTATTAAATAACTTTAAAGACATGGCCATTAGCTTCATATAAAATCACCTTTTGCAAGTGCTATCATGTTCGTAAAGAGGAAGGAATGAAGATAAAAATTGTTATAGTTGTATGCTTCAAAAAATAGCTTGCTAACAATAGTATCATGGGGATAATGAACAGCTCATTGTCAAAATGCTGTGAAAAACTGCTTTTCTCTGCCCTCATTAATAAGTATAATGGTGTCTGCATATGAACATATAGTGATAATGTTTGATAATAGAAAAATATCTTCAAAGAAGAGATGACAGTGGCTTTGTGGTTGCTTGGGAACTACTTCAAACTTCCTAAGACACTGAGTTTTGGTTTTTGCTACCTTGTTTTCTGAAGATCAAAGTATCGGTATCTTCTGGAGGTGACTGCATTCGAACATACAAGCCTGAAATCAAGAAAGGAAGCTACAATAATATTGTTGTCAATGTAAAGACACCTGTTGCCGATAACCTCCTCTTTTATCTTGGGAGTGCTAAATTTGTAAGTATAATCACTCCTCTTTTCTTTGCTCTACTGTGTTTCTAGTTAGAATCCTGTTTGTGAGGAAAATGTACAGAATCCAGTAGCAGGAACACAAACTAAATTAAGTAGTTTTCAGATTTGAATACCTCAGCATCAAATCTCACAAAGTTATAAACTGTCAAATAAATTCAGAAGGCAAGTGGTATAAAAACAAATTCAACCGTATTTAGGCCGAGGTGTTTAAATGTGTGATTCACTCATTGATTTTGAGTTTTTATTTTCAGATCCAGTTATTTAATAAGACATGTAGAAGTAAAGATTTTTATTTTTTGTATTTCTCTATGAAATTATCCTAGACTATCATGTTAAATGTAAATGGTAAATTGTGTACTATTTTCTTACCAACGAGAAATTCTGATTATACTAAACTCTGACTCAAAATGAATAAATAGGAGTTGAATTAACAACAAACATTCACCCAGTAAATTCTAATTCCTTTTATTTGAATCATTTCTTTTCATACATGGATAATTTCCAAGATGAGTTAAGACTTTTTACAGACTTGTTAGGGTAAAAGTTAGTACCTGCCTTTCAAGTGAGCTATTGTGAGTCACTGTAAATATAAAACAAATAAGCAGCCTAGCTAGTCCTCAAGAATGACAGTGCTTTGGTAAAAAAAAAAAAAATAGCACTGTTCTCCCGTTGCTCACCAATTTGCTCGAGCGGGCCCAGTAACGTCTCCATTGTGAGACTTGTTGTTACTGTATTTGGCATGTCGAATACATCATGGGGAGCTTGCCAGGCTTTGTCGTGCAGGCGAGATACTCTCAGTAGCTTGCCGGGCTCTCCAAGAGGGGCAGAAGAATAGAACCCGGGTCTTCTGGGCCAGCCACGTGCAAGGCAAATGCCCTACCTTCTGCGCTATTACTCCAGCCCATGCAGGTATTAGGAAAAATTGAGTTATGAAGTTCACTTATAAATGGATGTACATGGAGAGTATGATGCTGAGTGAAATGGTCAGAAGGAGAGGGATAGACATAGAATTATTGAATTTATTTGTAGGATATTTAAAAATACACAATATGAGACTCAAACCCAAGGACAGTAGAAACAAGGGCTATGAGAATTGGCCCACAGTTGGAAGCCTACCCCAGGTGCTGGGAGAGAAGGCAGTTAGGATAGAGAAAAGACCACTGTAACTATGATAGTTGATTGTCAAATGATCACTCTGGATAAGAACTGCATGTTGAACGTAATTAAAGGATAGGTAGGATAATCTCTCAGCATCTGTGCTGCAAACTATAAGGCCCAAAGGGAGACATAAAGAGAGAGAGAGAGAGAGGGACTGGGGATGGGGGCAGAAGGAAGTGGCTGCCATAGAAAACAGGCTGAAGGGAGGGTGGCGGGGAGGAAACTGGGGACATTGGTGATGGGAAATATACACTGGTGGAGGGAGGAGTGTTGGAACTCTGTATGACTGAAACCCGACCACAAACAGCTAAGTAAAATAATAATTGATATTTTTTAATGTGCTTTTATTTTGGCCTATACCACAATTGTCAGTCAGAAAAGACTTCTGTTGCAACATTAAACCAATTAGAATTTGTTAAATGAGTGGATTACGCAGACATAGATTGGACTTTTGTATTGCTTTAAAGATTCAGTAATAAAATATTTAATCACATAATATCATATACTTGGGGATATTATGAGGTTATGATTACTTGAAATACTTCAAGTGACGATTATTCAAAAGAACTCTATTAGTTTTTTCCTTCAAAGTAACCACTATCTCCTCAGTACAAATGCTATCAGTTGTTTTTGTTTTTCTGAACTAGGTTGATTTTCTGGCTATTGAAATGCGTAAAGGTAAAGTAAGCTTTCTCTGGGATGTTGGATCTGGAGTTGGACGTGTAGAGTATCCAGATTTGACTATTGATGACTCGTATTGGTACCGTATTGAGGCATCAAGGTAACTAATTCTATAAAGACTATCATTATTTAATGATATAACCTTAATTGTCTTTTAAGAGAACTCTTATTTGTATTCTGGGAGTTAGCTTTGAATCTACTATATGTAATCATGTGCAACATTTTTCTATTTTATGTGTGTATATATAAATTTGCATGAATGTCCTTATTGGTCCTGCTAGAAACTAAGAAACCTTTATAACATTTAATAGTTGAGAACCCTGTCAGGAGTCCCTGAACACTGAGCCAGGAACGCCCTGATCACTGCTGGGTGTGTCCACCCCCAAAATAATAATTAAATAAAATAGTCAATTCAGTAAAATTAAATCAGGTACCGTCTGTTTTGTTCACTTCTCTGGTGGTCCCACAGGAATTTTGAGTTTCTATTACTTTTGTTTGTTTGTTTGTTTTGATTTGATTTGATTTGTATTAAATCATTGAAAGAAGTACTAAGACTCTCCTTTATCGGTGTGAGGCAGACTTTAGAGGTGCCTTTGGTGCCTGTTTAGTGTTCTATTCTCTGCAAGTTTACAAAATGACTTTGCCTACAGTCGTGTGTAGTATCTAAATGCTGCCATGAATATACAATATGTTAGGTCCGTGCTATTTAAAATCGAAAGGAAGAGGAAGCTGATTGATTCTGTCTTTGAAGTTTCAATTCAATTAACTTCTTGCAGTGTATAGATTATGCATAAGACACACTACTGTCCTCAATATTTTCTCTCATTAAACGGGAGGGCCTTTACCTTTACCTTTTACCTTCATTTTTCTAATGCTCAACTTAAAAACTCAAAACAGCTTCCAGTGAGAGTTATGTTTAAGAACTTGGGGCTAGAGAAGAAGCTAACAGAGATAAGAAGATTTGGTAATTATTAGATCTGAGTGATGGACACAATGTAGAATTTTATTCTATGTTTGTGTTTATTTACCAATGTTTTTCCACAAGAAAATGCTTAAGAAATCTTAACAAGAAATGAGTTTTAGTTCCTTTTTAATATCTTCAGTAAAGAAATGTGTCAGTGTGCAGCTATGCATGTTTGTGTGAGAAAAAGAGGAAAATATACTAGCCTAAGTAATTGTGTTGGAAGGATTTAATGCTTTACTGAGATTAAGAGCCTTTATATCACAAAGTGAAGTTCTTTTACAGTCCTTTATCCTGTTTTTTAAAAAACCCTATTAATAAGTTGATTTTATTCTTTTTACATATTTCAGTTAATACTTACCCCAAGAGATAGAAAAGAGTACAAAAAATGAGAGAGTAGTAAGAGGAATATGACACTAAAGTTTTGATATGACTCCTTGTCTCTGAAGAAGGACCAAATTTTGATATATGTAACAGTTTATGGAAATGAGGTGCCTTAAAAAAAAGATGAAACAAAGTAGCGATGGCTTTTAAAATTCTCTTAATTAAAATGAAAGTTGAAGTTTTGTACAATTTGTATACACTGATTTTGAAGAGTAGATATTATACGCTACCCATTAGATGTACTGCCAAACAGTAAAAGATCACAATTCCAGGAATACTACTTCAGCAAATTCAGATCCAAGAACTAATAAGGGATTTAGGAGAATTGCTACAGCTTATAATGCAGAATAGTAGCTCACTCAGGGTTCAGTTGCTGACTTACGTTAAGCCAAAAACAAGATAAAGCAATATAAACTTTTAAAATGGTATTTAGTAGAAAATAGTAAATTGTTTTGTAAAGCAAAGCTTTCCATTTAATAGCAATTCCATCAACTAATTGCTGCCATGTCATTTCATATCAGTGATATGTGCTGAATCTGGACTGTAACTCACAGGTTTTGGTGAAAATTGACAGTAAACATCCAGCAAAGATCAGATTCTGTACTTTGGTGTGTAGTTTTATGAAGCTGATATGTTTGAACCTAATCACTTGATTTCTTAAATTATCCAAACCATGTTTTGCATTTTAAAACTAAAGTTACCAAAAATGTGGTACATATGTTATTGCTTTTTTATTTTCTTCCATTGCATTTCAACACACATCATGAAAGAACTGGGAGAAATGGAACTATTTCTGTGAGAGCCCTGGATGGACCCAAAGCCAGCATCCTGCCCAGTGTCTACCATTCAGCATCACCTCCAGGGTACACTATTCTAGATGTGGATGCAAATGCAATGCTCTTCGTGGGTGGCTTGACTGGAAAATTAAAGGTAATCCATCCTTTCTCATTCAATTTATCATATCCATCTTCACAACTACTGACATGATTACTTGGGGGAAGACATGATAAAGTTCTGCAAAAATCTGACCAAAAACCAAATTTTACTTGGTTAACATAAATTTATATTTAATGAGACTTTTTTTTTAATAAGGGCCACCCTCAATCTTGCCAGGGGTCAGAGACCAATCTTAGTTATTCTTGTTCACTAGTGCAGTAATGGGAGCTCTTGTCGAGTGAGGTAGGTAACCATCCCAGCAAGGCCTCGGCATCTATCACCTGGCAGCACCTAGAAGACCATTTGGTGCAAAGGACTGATGGAAACCAGGCCTTGCATATGCTAGGCACATGCTGTAGCACTTAGGCCATCTCCCTGGGCCCAGAATTTTTTCATTTTGAATATTCATTATGGTAACGTAATATTTAAGCCTTTTGTACTTATTTAAACAGCTATCATTTGGCCCTAATCTGTGACATCATTTTCATTGTCTTGTTTTAGTTGCTCAATGGTAAATTATTTTTAAATATACCCCATCTCCTGAATCAATTTATGATTTATTGATATGAATGAAGTACTATAAAGTTCAAACTCACATCTAATTAAAAGATTTATGAATACCTTGGGAAATATCACAGAGGCTATAAGCTTTCAAATCATGATCTGATTGCAAAAGTTTTCAAGTTGCTCTTCTCATTCTTGTAAAGTGCTTAATATTCATAATTGCTTTAAGAGAGGTCCTTGTGCATTTCAAATTGCAAAGGGCCTGCATTCGTGCATTTTAAAGAAGTTTTTGTTGATTAAATGGAATTAGGTGTTGAAAAACGACCTGTGGGTGAGATGTAAGAGCACGACAAAATATAATGGATAATCCTGGGCTTGTCAGAATCATCCTGGGATGAGATTAGTCCGAAAATGTGAAAAGCCACAGTGACCCCAAATTTATGAGAACTCAACCTTCATATAGAGTGAGGTTGTTTTATTTGCTTTGTGTATGAGATGTGACTCTAATGTATTAGAATTGGTTCCACAACTACACACTGGAATCATCCTCATTTTTTGAACTCAATAAATATATATGGCATATAGTAACACATATTCATACTGCCAATTTTCTCTTCTTCCTCTAAGCATAAATATGTGGATAATACAGCACACAAATAGGAATTTTGAGATGAAATTCAAGTTGCATTTTCTGCTTTATTACAGCTAAAATGTTACTTTATCACCTACTAAAATATTAACACCTTAGACTTCAGTTGTCTCAAGAGACATAAACAAGGCAGATAAACATATCTACTTTGCCTGCACGTTGTAGAACACAGTTATAAAAGTTCAATGCATCTATGTAGTCCTTACATTGTGCTCGGTGGTAGTCTAACTTTCATGGATTAAAATTTTCATAATAAAAAATAAAAAATATTTTTATTTTAGTTGATAAATATGAATAGAAGAAGTTAAATACAGCCCAGGATATGAAGAAGTTAGTAGCAGAGTTGTCATTTGAATCCATCAAAGCATGTTTAAGAGTCACCGATCTTAATCACCACTCTCCACTGCCACAGTAAAACTAAGGGCATGAGCTTATAACAGATTACTAGAACTAGGTGATCACATATTATATTAGACTTTCTTGTTATCCGGATATTACTGACACAAAGCAACTTCCTTGGTCCTTTGTCAAGCAATAAGAAAACAGACATGTATGACCTTGAGAAAAATCTTAATCAATTTTGACCACGAGTTCTGAGGCTCAAGCAACACCAGATTATAATGAACCAAAAGCTAAAAACAAGAAACAAAATGAATATGCTGGTAAACATTCAAAGATTCATGGAAATAGCCTTAGCTTTTTAGACTATGAGAAGGAAAAGCAAAAACAAAGTAAAATTCACAAAGTAGTAGCAACCTCTGGAAATTAAGAGGCTCCAATAGATGAGAGTCAATTTTTAAAAATTAAAGTAGACTATAGACCAAACATGATTGCCATTCAATGCCTCTTTTGCAAACCACAACACCCAAAAAGAGAGAGAGAACAAAAGAGAATACCCTGCCACAGAGGCAGGGTGGGATGGGGGGATGGGGGGTGGGAGAGATACTGGGATCAGTGGTGGTGGAGAATGGGCATTGGTGGAGGGATGGGTACTCGATCACTGTATAGCTAAAACACAAACACAAAAATTTGTAAGTCTACAACTGTAACTCATGGTGTTTCACTAATAAAAATTTTTTAAAAAATTCTTCCTTATAATTGCCAGTGGCTCCAATCAGCCCTCTTTCTCTGTACTAGTGAACTGCTTAACAACAACAGTTGGAACTACATTTTAATTATTCTGTGACCATATTCCTATATTTATTCTAAAACATAATCATGTGCATTCATTTTCCCCTAGATTATTCAGATGAATGCAGGTTCACTTGAGCAAAACGTTTCTTAAGTTATCGGCACTCTGAGAGAGATAGAGAGAGAGAGACAGAGACAGAGACAGAGACAGAGACAGAGAGACAGAGAGAGAGAGTGTGTGTGTGTGTATGTTAGAGAGAGAGAGTGCAAGAGAGAGTGAGAGATAGAGAAGAGAATAATAAAAGTGCCCATAAAAGAGCATAGAGGAAGGGGGGGGGTGGGATATGATGGGAGGGAAACTGGGGTCATTGGTGGTAGGAAATGAGTATTGGTGGAGGGATGGGTGTTGGGTCACTGCATGACTGAAACCCAATCATGAACACGTTTATAATTATGTATCTCATGGTAACTTAAAAATAAATTAATAAATAAATAAAACATATACTTAATTTAAAAACTAATAGTATTTGGCACTATAAAATGTATTGGTAACAACGTTTCTCAATGCCTATAAAAATAATTGCTCAAATCAGTGCTTCTCAACTGGGGCCCATGTCAGATATCATACCCCAGGAGATTCCAAGGGATACCTAGGTGAACATTGCATAAATGGGCATGCTGGTATGAGTTTAGGGACACAAAAGAATATGACAGTAATTCAGGATGTCACAGGAAGGAAACAAATTTGGAAGAGGGACCATTGACAGAAGAGGGTAAAAATGCAGTCTGAAATAACAGCACAGTCTAGAGTGGATTCATTCGTTACCCTACTTGATGATGTATTAGGTATCAAACATAAAAATATTCAGTTACAGTGAATATAAACTGAATTATCTCATTTAATTCTCCTTCTAACCTAGAAGCTACAGTTGCCCCCACCCTTGCCAAATTAGAGTATCATAAAGGATAAGCAGCTTACCTGAAATCAGAAGCTAAGAGCTTTTATTTACTAATGCTGATGAACTGGTATAATACAAAATAACCAAGGTCTCTGAAGGGATTATATGGTTAAAAGATAAATATGTGCCCTACTCAGAATTGTAGAAGGAATGAATAGCCACTTGGTGCTAATAACTCTCATGAGAACACTAAGACTTTTGTGAAATTCTAAATTCTAACAAATTTCACCTTTCTCTCTTTAGAAGGCAGATGCTGTACGTGTGATCACATTCACTGGTTGCATGGGAGAAACTTACTTTGACAGCAAACCAATAGGATTGTGGAATTTCCGAGAAATAGAAGGTGACTGCAAAGGATGCACTATTAGGTGAGTTACAGGGTTTGGTCTGTGTGTTAAAGAAACTCTTTACTCTGTTTGTGTATGTGTGTGTGTGTGTGTGTGTGTGTGTGTGTGTGTGTGAGAGAGAGAGAGAGAGAGAGTAATAGATCATGCAGATGTGCAGATGATCTGGAGCAGCTTCAAGTGGTTCGATTGGTAAGGGTGATTTATCATAAAATTAACGAAAGTTTAAGTCCCTCTGTAGAGACATGCAGGCACTTTACAAGAAGAACTCTGGAGGTGCCTGAGCAGTATTTTTGTTGTGTATATGTGTCCTAGCCTAGTTTGGGTATCAGGGTAATGTTTGTCTTTTGTAAAATGTATTTTGAAGTCATATATCCATAAATTCTTTTTTTAGAAAGAATCTGAGTATTGTTATTTATATTCTTTGTTAGAAAATTCACTATGCTAGTCATGTAAACCTGAACATTTGTCCTAAATATTATGTTGATAAACCTACGATTAAAAAAATAGAACGTGGAAGTTAAAACATTATAAGAGAATATCTGGGAGCTACTTTCTTTTTCTTTTTTTTTTATTGAATCACCATGAGATACAGTTACAGAGATTTCATGTTTGAGTTTCAGTCATATAATGATCGAACACCCATCCCTCCACCAGTGCACATTTTCCACCTCCATTGTCCTCAGTATCCTCCCCCACATTCCCAAACTACCCCTACCTCAGTGGCAGACAATTTCTCCCATACTGTCTCTCTACATTAGTAGTAGTAAAGGCCCTCCCGTTGATCATCGATTTGCTCGAGCGGGTCCAGTAACGTCTCCATTGGAGACTTTGTTGTTACTGTGTCTGGCATATCGAATACTCTCGGTAGCTTGCCGGGCTCTCCGAGAGGGGCGGAGGAATCGAACTCGGGTCGGCCATGTTGGCTGCATGCAAGGCAGACGCCCTACCCGCTGTGCTATCGCTCCAGTCTCTCTACATTATGGTTTGCAATACATATACTGAGAGGGTATCACATTTGGTCCTTTGTCTACTTTCAGCATTCATCTCCCATCCTGAGCGATCCCTCCAACCATCACTGACTTAATGATCCCTTCTCTATTCCAGCTGCCTTCTGGGAACAAGTTTCTTCTATAACATTCTAGAGTTTGAGAAGCAAATATTTGGGTCTTAACAATGTACTTATGCCCTTTAACAATGAAATCTTACTATGATGCAATGATTTAAAAATTGCTATGTGTGTATATATTGAATATCCAGATAATTTAGCTTTATACTTTCAATTCACTATAATTCAAATTTTCATAGACTTGACTAGCTTTAGGCTCTAATAATCTTTGTTTGTTATGGGACCACAACCAGTAATAAAGGGTTATTCCTAGATCTGCATTCAGGAATTACTCCTAACAATGTTTAGGGGACCATAAAGGATATCAGGAATTAAAGCCAGGTCTTTGCAGCCCTTTCTCCCCGCTCTGTGAAGTAGAATTTTGCACGAAGGAGACGGTGGTCCGATCCCGTTCGAAATTTTGGGACAACAGCGACATCAGTCAGGCAAAACCGTCGATTGAATATGATGTGGTCTATTTCGTTGTGGAATCGTCCACCGGGAGACTCCCATGTCCATCGTTTAGATTCTGCCTTCTGGAACTGTGAGTTACCATGAATGGTCTTGGTCGACATGATGAACTCAGACAGTCTCTCACCCTGTTCGTTCCATTCTAGGCCATGGGTTCCGATGTGAAGTTCTTCAGCTGATCTTCTCGGTCCTATCTTGGCATTAAAATCACCCACAATGATCTTGTAGAAGGTGTGGTCTTCTTTATAGAATTTCTCTAGCTCCATGTAGAACTTCTCGATTTCTCTTCCATCATAATGAGATGTTGGTGCGTAGACAACGAAGATAGAAACTGCAGGCAGTGAGTCACATCTATTCAAATGTAAACGTCCGATTCGGGTTGTTAGGCATTCGAATGAATCAATGCTCTTGGCCAAGTTTGTGTTGATAAGGACACCGACGCCTCCAACACCTCTTTTATCGCATGTTCCGAGGAACAATTCTTCTCCAGTGTCGAAAACGGCATGGTGAGATTCGTGTCTTCTTGTCTCGGTCAGACCAATGATGTCGTACTTGATCATTCGCGCTTGTACCATCAGGTCCTCGATGGATGCATCTGATGCTAGCGTACGTGCATTGAAAGTACAGACGATCATTTTTGTCTTCCTTCGTTGTGGCAGCCTAGGTCGGCCTTGAGATTTTGTCGGCCTCTCCTTTCTCATCCTTCTCAGTGCTGCCATGTCGGTGAAGCCTTCAGGGTCAGGTGAATGAGACCAGTTGTAGTTACTGGTTTTGGCATATCGAATACACAGCGGATAGCTTGCCAGGCTCTTCCGTGCAGGCGGAATACTCTCGGTAGCTTGCCAGTCTTTCCGAGAGGTATAGAGGCTTTTGGGGTGACCTCTAATCAAGATGCCGCTCTGCTTAACGTTCATTGATTTAAAGAAGGCCTTTGATTCTGTTGAGACGGAAGCGGTCATTGAAGCCCTAGCCAATCAGGGCATTCAAGCCCAATACATCAGGATCCTCCGTGAGCTGTATTGCGGATTCACTACCAGGATCTCACCATTCTACAAAGAAGTGATCGTTGATGTCAAGAGAGGGGTGCGGCAGGGTGATACCATTTCACCAAAACTCTTCAGTGCCACCCTCGAGAACATCATGCGACGACTGGAATGGGAAGGAATGGGAGTGAAGATAGATGGTCGGCAACTACACCACCTCCGCTTTGCTGATGACATTGTTTTAATAACACCAAACATCAGCCAAGCAGCACAAATGCTGGCCGACTTTGACCGTGAGTGTGGAAAGGTAGGACTACAGCTGAATCTTACGAAGACAATGTTTATGAGAAACAGCCTTGTTCCTGACGCCCCATTCGCTCTCAATGGAACGACCATCTCCGAATGCAACAGCTATGTGTACCTAGGTCGAGAGGTCAACATGACAAATGACCTGGCACCCGAGCTGCACAGGAGGAAGAGAGCGGCTTGGAACGCCTTCAAGAACGTCGAAGAAATAGCTAAGAGGACGAAGAACCTCCGGCTCCGGGCACATCTCTTTGATTCCACTGTTCTTCCTGCATTAACATATGCCTCAGAGACCTGGGCCCTACGCAAACAAGATGAGAACGCCATTCAGGTCTCCCAAAGAAGAATAGAAAGAGCTATGCTTAGAATATCACGTTTCACTCAAATGAGAGAACGAATCCGGAGTTCTGACATCCATCAACGATCAAGGATCAGGGACGCTGTCTCATTTGCCAAGGTGTCAAAAATCAGATGGGCTGGTCACGTAATGAGATTTAAAGATGACCGTTGGACTAGAGCTGTTACTGATTGGATTCCACGGGATGTCAAGAGACCGCGTGGCCGCCCACCTACCAGATGGTCAGACTTCTTTGTCAAGGTCATGAACGATCGGTTTGAGGCCCTCCATGTTCCCGGAGCGAAGAGATGCCATTGGGCTACACTAGCACGCGACAGGGACAAATGGAGACGTTACTGGCGCCCGCTCGAGCAAATCGACGACTAACGGGAAGTTAAGTGATTAAGTGATTAAAGCCAGGTCAGCCACATGCAACGCAAACACCATATCCACTATGCTATAGCTCCAGCCCTTAGATTCTAAGACATTTTATGAAAACAAAAACCCTGTGCTTCCAGTTGATTATTTAAATTATTTTATGCAGAATTATATAAGAATTTTATTCTACATCTATGTTACCATGCTTGTTAAACATTTTTAGATTTCTACATTCTAACACTATCTTCCAGGTTATAATGGTGTATATAAGGGAACTTTCTCCTGACTCATCTCAACCATTTCCTTCATTTCTCCACTCACATAAAATCTTCAAGTCTCCAGTGTTTCTACTCAAATAATTTACAGAAGACTAGGGGTTATTTGAAAAATCTGATAGTAATTAACACCTGAGTCTCTACACAACATTCTCTTCAGTGTATTTCCAAAAATTAATGGATTTGTTGTAGGAAAGAAAAAATAATAATTTATTCTCCATCAGTTATACTGCTGATAGCTGATTTAGTTCTTGAAACTTGTAGTTAATATTTTTCATTAATATTAGAAAAATATTTTGTTTACATTAGGGAAAAAATAAGTGTTGCTTGAACTTACAAAGATATGACTGTGAAAGATACAGAATAACTTTCTTCTTTAGAGCTTGCTCTCTATTCCTAAAACACAGAGAAAGCTAACTTGTCAAAATGCTTAACACTTCCCCCACAAGCCAGTTAATGTTTGTACACTGTTATTATCTCATAGACCATGATTTTATGTAAATAATATTCTTGACTCTTGTAAGTTTATAACATTGATGTACCATTTGTAGATTTCCTCTCTGCCTTCAAGTTAATCCGACACAATTTCAAAGATTCAGCCATATGCTAATATGCATATGCACATATTCAATGTATTGAAAATCTCTTCAAATAATATTGACTCTTTAACATCAACTAAATAAATGAGTACAGGGATGAATGAATAGATGATTAGATAATACCTCTTATTTTTAAAATAAATTAAAATCTATTATTTGCAACCCACATCTTAGGTTTTCATCAATAATTCAAACAATATGCTATCTAAAACTTCCTTAATTCCACAAACATTTCCAAGCTGCTATAAGCAAACAAGCACACTTAATGCTAAATACTTTATTTCTTTTTCTTTTTTCCTTTTTTCCTTTTATTATTTTATTTTATTTTATTTTATTTTTTGAACCAAGGCACAACCAGCTGTGCTTAGGGCCTACTCTTGGCAAAACTTGCCGATCCATTTGTGATGTTGGGGATCAATCCTGGCTCAGCTATGTGCAAGGAAAGCACCTTATCCACTGTAACTGTCTCTGTCCATACACTTTTAGTTTCTAGTTGTGATAGAGGCCAGTTCATAGTCACCAGCTACTCTAATGGAGCTTGCATGCTAATGCAGAAGACAGACGAACAAAGGTGCAACTAGATGGGGGCATCCTTCATTGTCTGAATTAAATATATCTCAGAAAAACACTATTAGGTCGTGAGTATCCAAAGAATGCAAAACCTGTAGTTCATTGTGGATTCTTTTTTTTCCTATAATTGGACAATTTTACTTTGACCTCCTTCACCTTCTTTGGACCCAACTCCCAGTTTTTGTTATGCAATGTGAGAAATGTAATAATATGGTCTGAGCCCATCCAAATGCCCAAAGTATATACCACTGAGATGCACTTAAATACAAAGTGCTTAAGCAAACCATTAGCATTATAAATGTTAACAACCTGCTTTTTCATAGTTGATGATTGTTTGGTCCCAGAGAGTGAGGTACATTGTACGGATGGAACTGGAGGTTATATTCCCTAAGAAAGTAAGTCAGAAGGAGAGAAATTTATACAGTGTAATTCTATCACATATAAGATATAAAGAAACATAGTGAGTTAAAGGCACAATCTTTAAGCAAATCAGAGGCAATAGAATCTGAAATCTGGTCTATAGAACTGAGTTTAATACCATGGGCTGGTTGGGGGGCAGATTTTATTGGGGGGACCCTGAGAAAATGGTTTGGGAAAATGGACACTCTGATAGAGAGTGTGGGGTTAAACCATTATTTTCATGAAGCCTTACAATTAACAGTCACAGTAATTAAAATCAAATAAACAAAAGTAGGAAAATATTTTTAAAAGAGTTACAGTAAAGATATGGAGACGTTTAAGAATCCAGATATATCATGGTAGGTTCCTGCTGTATATAACAGCTTATAGTCTAGTTTCTGAGGACAACTTGATGCATTGAACAACAACGACCCAGAAGAAAATGGTGTGATTTATATGCAACATCTCTGCTTTCAGTCCTCAGGTAGAAGACAGTGAAGGAACAATCCAATTTGATGGAGAAGGTTATGCCTTGGTCAGCCGACCCATTCGCTGGTACCCAAACATCTCCACAGTCATGTTCAAGTTCAGAACATTTTCTTCAAATGCCCTGATATTATATCTTGCCACACAAGATCTGGTAAAGATGTGCATCGCAGACGTTCTATGATTCAAAATGTGTTTTCTTCTTTTCCATAGGACTTTAATATAATTGTTACTAGTAAAATGATTAGTTACTATTAAAAAGGATTCTAAGCTAATTAGTACACTTGATAGTTAAGGGTATGGTGAAATAAATTGGGTTCTTTTATTTTTCATGCTATCTTTAAGTACTAACACAAGTTAATTACTATGTATTTTCAACATTACTTCTCATTTCTTTTTTCTTTTTTTTTTTGCCTTTGTAAAGATTTTGTTTTCACTTAATTCTTCAAGAAAGTAACAGTAAAGATTCCTCCCTTGTAGGAAAATTGCTTTCTTGATTTTCCTCTAGAGGCCTAACTTAAAAGGTGATTTTTAAAATGTACTTAGTGTTTGTTCCAGGTCAGTGTTTCTTAGTAGAAATATACCTTTTAATTTGCCTATATATTCTTAAGGAATCAGACTATATTACTATGATAAAAGGATACATCCTAGTAATTTAGTTGTGGCCATCTGTACCATAATATCACATCCAAGAGCATTCACAAAATAGTATCACAAATCCTGCCTGAAAAATGGTTGGCAATTACTAAGCAACACATTTAGTAATTTAGTTATGAGGCCCAATCCTAAAATCCATGAAGTGACTACTCAAATTTCTCTGTATATCTAATCACCAGTGTATGTTTCTTCTACTAATAGAGGGATTTCATGAGTGTGGAGCTCGCTGATGGGCACATAAAAGTCAGCTATGATCTGGGTTCAGGAATGGCTTCTGTTATCAGCAGTCAAAACCATAATGATGGGAAATGGAAATCATTTACCATGTCAAGAACTCAAAAACAAGGTGAGTTTTTATAGCTATGAAGCACTATACCTTAATCATGAGATCCTAAGCTTCCCTGTACCTAAACATGAGAGAGACACTGTAATTTTAGGTACTCAAAAATTCTGTGAAAAATTGATACAGTCATTTATGTAGCTTAGATTATAGGTGTTTTGGGTTAGACATAACTGATTGAAGAGCCAAATGAATCTCTGTCATTTTCTTTTGAAACTAAGAATTTATTTTGAAAGCATAAAACTTGTAAAATTACATCCTATAGTTGATTTGAAAAAGGTTATATGTTTTTATTTTCTTATTTTGCTGAGGTGTTTCTCTTAGATTTGTCCGTCGGTAGAATTTTTAGCAATAGTAGAACACAAATACCAGTTGTTTTCTTTTTAAAATGCCCACAATTTGCTTCTATTCATGTTAGTAACTGACTAATAATAACAGGATATTTTAATGGTCCTAAGACATTTTCAAAACTCTTTCACATACAATATTCCATTTACTTATATAAACTGATATTTCTCTCATAGACAAAATGTGTTAGAGAAAAGAAAATATATTGACATATTTCTATGAGGTCTCACATACAAGATATTATAACTGTGACAGAAATCTCTGTCTGTTACTTCTTAATGCTTTTTAAGCACATTATTTGAACTATTGCTATCTCAGTTATTTAAGTGTGAGTCTCATTTGTACTACATTACAAATATCATCAAATGAAAATTTAATATTTCTGCTTAGAGTTAGACCTAATTAATTTTGACAGTACCAATGTAACATTTTATGAAAATTTAAATAACATCATCCTGAAGGATTATCCTTCATTTCACATATACCCACTAGGCACCTACTAAATCCTATATAAGAAGCAAATAAAATCTATAGCAATTCCTTTTCTTAAAGGAACTTTTAGCTGAATGAGAGAAGGGTAAGTAAATCAATGATTAAGGGACAGGAAACTGATTGCTACATAGATACATTTAAAGCAGGCTAGAAATCTTAGAGTTATTTAACTTAACATACAGGTCAGTTCTAAGGGAGTTGCTTAAGGCATGAGAAACAGAGGGGAATGAAGCTCTACGGACATTCCAGGGAAATTGCATGCATACCTGAAAACAGGGCATAATATAATATTTTCAACTAGCTTTTCTTGGAATAAAAAACCCTGGAGAAACTCCTTAATTTTTATAGTTGTATATATTGGAGCATTGATTTATAAACTCTTCCCTCATAAGGGAGCTACAATGCATATTTGAATGCTAGAGGTTGTACATAGTAGTTGATTAGGAATAATGTTTGATCTATTAACCCACCATTTTCTCATTACAAGAATTTTTGTTTATTACAAGAATACTTCCATTCCTCCAGTGTTGATATTTTTTTCAACATTCTCTGAGACAAGCTACAGCAATGACAGTAGATCCAGAACCCAACAGGATTAATGTTGGTATAAAAATTATCAAATGATGCTAGACAGATATAAAGCGAGTTCTTAAAGAACCTTATGAGCTCAACTAATAAGTTTCAGCTTCCTTCTCAAAACTACCAGGAACTGTTAAGAATTTTAATCAAGAGTGTCACATCATCAGATTTGTTAATCAGTGAAGTTTCTTGAAGAGCATATTGGAAAGTAGATTTGTGACCATTCAGATGCTACTGCAGTCTGTAGTAAACCAGGTGAAGAGTGAGAAGAATAAAAGATTAGTCAACATCCATGAAAAGAGAGAGTAAAAATGGCATTGAAATATATTGTCACTGTCCATCACTGTCCTCCCGTTGTTCATCGATTTGCTCGAGCGGGCCCAGTAACATCTCCATTGGAGACTTTATTGTTACTGTGTTTGGCATATCGAATACATCACGGGTAGCTTGCCAGGCTCTGCCGTGGGGGCAAGATACTCTGGGTAGCTTGCCGGGCTCTCCAAGAGGCGCAGAGGAATCGAACTCGGGTCGGCCATGTTGGCTGCATGCAAGGCAAACGCCCTACCGCTGTGCTATCGCTCCAGCCCTGAAATATATTATACAATTTAATATCAAAGAGTTTCATGATACACTCTATGTAGAAGCTAAGTATTTTTAAAAAGAAAGGGAATATTTTACTTCCTTTTCTTTTTTTCTTTACTTATTTTTTGGGGGTCTGGGGGCTTTGATAGCAATAATATGTCAGAGAATTTCACCATGTAATGCAGATTTTTAAAATGATTCCTGGAAAGCTTCTGAGTTTCATGCTGTCTCCTTAGCATCCTAGTAAAACTGTGTAAATTGATAGTCAAGTAATTATGTGTGAATCATCAGATATGCAATAGATATGGAAATAGAATAATAAACACATTTTTAATAATTGTTGCTGAGTAGGAATAGAAAAAAACAGTTTTATCTATAATAAGTTGATCGAAATCCTGAGAGCAATCAGTGGTTACTGAAAGAATATACTAAAGGAAAAAATAACCATAAAATTGGTGCTAAAGAAAAAAAGAAAGTAGGAAAAAAATGACTGATTTCAGTGGACCAAACTGAAGTTAGAGTGATCAATGAAGACTAATAGTAGTCTAATCAGGAGGGAAAATGATGGCCTGAAATAAGAGCTGTAGTGGTATTTGATGCATAGGGAAATGCAAAATAAATTCACACAGTGATACCACTATGCAGCGATTAGAACACCTAAACTTAGAAGACAGAGCATACCCCCAGATACTAAGGATGTAGTACAATTAAAAATATTTACTACTGATGAGAATGTTAAAGAATATATCCACACATGGTGATTGTTAAAGGACTAAATTTATACCTACCACATGAGCCAGTCAATCCACTCTGAAATGTTCATTCATGACACCTGAAAGAACCAAACCAGAATCATACCAGCTCTATTCATTATACTCAAAAATCAAAGCTATTGAAGTTCTCCAAGACACACCATGGTAGGGAGATACTGATGTTACAGCAATGCCTTGAGCACAAGGACTGGGAATCATGGATATCAGCATCAGGGATTAGGGCTACTGATAAGGTCAGGGTCAAGGTCAAGACTGCAGAATTTATGGAGATAAGGCCAAGGACAAAAGATTGGATACTGTCACCCAGCAGAATCAGCTGATTAAAGACTTGAAAAGCAAGTCCCTGAAGGAGATCTACCTCTGTTCCTTGTCCATTAATGATCTAAGACAGCATGACTTTTTTTCCTGGGGCTGCTCTTAAGAGGTTTTGAAAACTCTGACCATACCAAAAAAAAAAAAAAAAATCCAGTGAAATGGATTTAAGGCATTTATCAGCCTTGAACTTTGTTATGATTATGTCCATCTAAATTTAAGTGTTCCAAAAAAGATTATCATCTTGGTCAAACTCTCCGTCATCCCTGGGAAGTGAGTGTACTGAGGTAACCAGCCTGCATGACCTTTGCAATGTGAGTAGCCCCAATTCTGTGCTGTTGTACTTCATCCCTGCTATGAGGGATACCAACACAGTCTCATGCCCTGTACCCAAGGAGTTGCTGGCTAACTAACATTGAGGACTGATAAATCTCAGTCACAGTCTGAATGAGAGACCTGAACAACTTTTCCAAAGTCACATCTTCTCCAAGACTTAGCGCCTTAAGACTTAACTTCCTAGAAAAAAAAATAGTGTATTCACAAAGTTTCCCTCTCAGATAATCATTGAAAAATTTGTGAAGACATATGCCAGAATATCCACATAAGGCCCCAGGCATCAGTTGTAGCCACAAAATAGTTTTATACAGAAAAAAAAAAGTGTTTAAAAAAAGGTAACTGAGTCTTTAAAAAAAAAAAATTTATGAGAGAGATCGTTCTGTGTCTGTCCCTCTCCTCATAATAATGCTCAGCATAATAAGCTCCAGATTCATATGCATAGCAAAAACCTGCATGATTGCATCTTTTCTTGAAGCCAAGTAGCATTTATCCAATTTTGTATGTATGCCATGCCTTCTTTATCAAATCGTCTGTTCTTGGACACTTGGGTTGTTTCCTAATATTAAAGTAAAACATTTTAAGAACTCAAGAGATAGCACAGTGAGTATGACATGTGTTTTACATGTGGCTGACCTAGTTTTGATCCCCAACATTGCTCCGTTGTGTCCCCTGATCCTCAGCAAAAATGATCCCTGAGTGCAGAACCAGGAGTAGGCCCTGAGCACTGGGCAGTTGTAGTCCAAAAGAACAAAATAAATAAGTAAATACACTGAAATATCCAATCAGGTGAATTTATACTCAATTGTTGTATATCTGCACAATAAAGTCATAATTGACAATCAAAAGCAACTGACCATTACTAGAGGAATAGTTCAATAATTTTTCTGGGAAAAAGGAGTTAAAAGAGCACATTTATACATTTATATAAGAAGTAAATGCTAAAAATACTAAGCTCATCTTTAGTCACAGAAGTAAGAGAGGAGCTACCTGTGGATATGAGAACTAGAGAGGGGGAGGAAGGAGATACAAGGATGCAAAGGAAACTTTTAGGGTGATAGTTGTATCATCTTATGATGACTCCATAGGTGTATGCGTATCTCAAAACTTGTTAAACTGTAGGCTTCAAATATAGGTAAATAGACCAATTATATTTAGGTAAAACAACCATTAAAAAGTAGAACAGATATGAGCTGGGGAGATAGCTCAAAGGGTTAGCATGCATGCTTTGTAAACAGGAGATGGAGGTTTGATCCTTGGTCCCACGTGGTCCCTGAAATACTCCAGGAGTAACATCTAAGTAATTCACTAGGGGTAGCCTCTGAACATAGCCCCCAAGCAAAATTAAAATAAAATAAAAATAGTACATGAGTTTATTTATTGATTTGATTATGTGTGGAATAGAAAAAGAAGCAACAATTTTAGTTTAAGTGACTGGATAGGGGTACTGCCACCAAATAAAATAAATATAGATTCAGGAGTGACAATAAGTAGTAGCAGGAGATAATTATTTTGATTTGTTTTATGTTTAGTTTGAAACACTGAGGAGTAGGTAAAGCTGATAGCATCTCATAGTTGATGGTGTCAGTTGACTGAGTTTTAGGTAAAAGTAAATTTCAAGCACAGATATTTTGGAATTGTCAACATTTCATAAGTAGATATAAATTTTAGTTTACAAAAAAAGTAAAAACCTGGTAAGGTTCCATATTAGAGGACATTAATAAACATCAACATTTTAGAAAGGTTCAAAGAAATAAGACCTAGGTAATAATCCTGGATTAGAAAAGATTGAAAAGTAGACACTGGAGAGGTTTCATTAGGAAAACCAACCGAAGGAGGAAGCTTTTTAAATAAAAGAAAGCACAAGTTAGAGTATCAAATACTACATAGATCAGTATCAAGATAAAGATTAAACCCCTATTTGGTTTGCACACAAATTTGAACAAGTTCATATATCAAGGAGTAGCTGGTCAGGAATTCAAATGAACTTTCAACTTTGTGGTTCATTGCAACTTTTCATTGACTAGATTATTTGTTTTACATGAACTATTCTCAATATACTCATAAATGCATTGCTCCACAAAACAAAATATACTCCTTAAGGAGGCATTCCCCATATTCCTCAAGACTCAGTAGAATCACAGTGACTAATAGAATTTTGCCATATGCTCCAAGGAAACAACACTGAGATCTTTAATAACCTCAACGAGAGAAGAAAAGAATATTCAAAATAAAAATAACTCACTTATAGCAACTCAGCATAGATTATAAACTGTTAAGCATCTTCTCCATATTTAAGTGTTTAATAAAACTCTTAATTCTCTGCTTACCAATAAATGATGCCTAAACTCATCAACTCTGAAACTGTAATAGCTATTCTGTAAAAGAAAGAAATGGAGCAAGAAATAAAAGCAAATGTTGGCATTTCGTTGCAAAACCCACTTCATTTCTATTACTCATGAGGGATAGAGTAAAACTCTTCCTTCAAATCAGTTAAAATACACCATTCTAAATCTTTCTGCTGAAGTTAACTCTTTGGATAGTGAGTTTCAGTTCAATTGTGTGGCTGCACTTTAATCAGTTTTTCTTTGAGTGATTTCTAAAAATGTATATATTCATTCATGGATAAGGAGGAAAAGTACCTTCAGCCACTGCCTTGCCTTGATAGAGAAGCAGAATCTCATTTTCACAAATACCATTAAAATACGCACCAGCCTGTATAAAGAGGCTATTTTCATGTTCCACTAAACAGCTCCATATAAAAATTCTTTGCTGATCTGGATAAGAAGGAATATTTATGAAGAATGTATTGAAAGTAGTCTTATAAACTGTTTTTTAATTTAGCCATCATTCCAAAAAGATATGTGCATGTAACTTACATCTGTTTGAAAGTAATTAAATTTATAAATCAAACTTAATAAATATTTTAAACAGAGAAATCATTTTAGGCTATTTTCATTGTTTTTATAAAGATCTGCTTAAAGAATCTGAAGTGTTACTAGGCTTGGGTATTTTATTATGGCCACTTTTATAAGACAATTATTTAGTTTCACTTCCTTTTGGAATTAGGCTAAAGATTATAATGGAAATTTGAGTTTGATGCTTCTCTTTGATTTCAAAATAGCATTTTCTAAATGATGTGGGAGGGGAATTAATATTCTGTGGTCAGATAAATTTGAAAATTACCATTTTCTTCATATCCATCTTCGGATTCATGTTGAAAACATAGGTAGTCATAAAAATAAAGATGTAAATTTTACTTTGCTTACCTTGGTATTTTCATATTTATTTGAATAAAAAATCCAAGAATATAGCTTTTCAAAGAATAAACATTTAGGTATATCCTTACAATCCTCTGCTTATTTGTCTATTTTCATTTTTTAACTAATTTGGATCCTAACAAGGCAAAGATTTAGAGGCAAAATCTGTCATATTAATGAATTGATGCTTCAACATGCTCCACAGATCCAAAATATATGAAGCATTTAAAGACTTAAACTAAGCAAATATTGTAAGAAAAAAAATAATTAAGAGTATAGCTTAACTCTTGAGAAAGAAGATAATGTGGAGGAATCAGTCAAATAAGAAGCTGTTATCTGAATCAAACAATACAAAGTGTCTTTCTTTTAACCTTTTCCTGTTTCTGAATTCTGATCCTCATCATTTTTAAAACAGCCCTAGACACCCAAAAGAAAATCATTGAAGAATGAGAACTGTACCTCTCTCATACCTCTCAAACACCTCCTGAATTTAATTTGCTATGGATATGGATCCCATAATCATACAGAAACAAACATTCCATTTCTGTGCACAGCCATTTCATCCACATCAATTTGCAGATAAACTTAAATGCTATTCATTCTGTGTACCCTGAAATGCATAGAATGTATGCCATTGATTTAGTATGTTTATTGTTAACAATCTAACTCCTAATTATATTTTTTATCTCAGCATTTAGAAACTATTTTATTTTAAACCACATATCCATTTTATGTTTGGTATATATCTAAACTTCTCTCTTCATTTGTTTGTGTCTTTGGTATTAAACATGTTAGTTTCATCTTCTTTTTAAAAATAATTGAAGAGAGACTTCTATTACTTCTGCAGTTTAAAGTTGTATATAATGCAAATACTTGAAAAAGTCAATGTTAATTTAAGCATAAATGTAAGTGTATTTTAGATTATCAGCAATGCTATACATGTAATTAAAGTTGCTCAAATAAAATTTTAAATATTTTATCTCATTTACAGCGAACATATCGATTATAGATATAGATACTAACCAGGAAGAGAACATTATAACTTCATCTCCAGGAAACAACTTTGGTCTTGACTTGAAAGCAGATGACAAAATATATTTTGGTGGCTTACCAACACTGAGAAACTTGAGGTAATTTAGTGCATATTTTGAGTTGAGGATTAAGTTTTAATTAAATGGCCACTATGTTCACTAGAGTCTTGAAGTTTAATTATAAGAGGAATTCCATATGATCTTCAGTTACATAAATATCTAATGAAAAAAATCATGTGGCAAGTTAGAACACCAGAATGGAGAAATCAAAGGATAAACTTGATATCTTTTTTGTGGATTTGGGTGAGAATCATTTTTCTCCTTAAATTCTCCTGATGAACACAATTATAAAAAATAATTACAGGTGAAAACTAGATTTGAGTATGGACCTTATAATTGTTTTCCTGACACCATTGCTAAAGACAGTGGCACAGTGACATGTTTAATTGTTCTGAAGATTAGTGTTTCAGAATGCTCTGAATATATCCCACTTTATTGCTTAGCTTTATCATGATAATAATGTATTAGAGCTTTCTCTTATGCTTAACTATAAGGCTATATTAGCTATATTAGTTATTCTCATATCCATGGCAACATATTTTTTACAATTTTTTTAGATAAGAAACTATCTTAGCTCATAGTTTCTATTATTTATATAAAGCAAAGCAATTGTATTTTTCAAAAAAGATTCCAGTGTATTTATTTCTTACTATTAAAATACTATGAGAAATAAAAGTTGTAGAGAACTTGGTGTTCAGTAGATGTTAATTTTATTTTATTAGAATGGGATGGATTGTTTTCATTAAAATGTAGACCCTTACAACACATATAAAGTATGGTGTTTTTAATTTTTGTTTTATTTTGTTTGCTAGTTTCAAATATGTCCAGAAGTTCTATTTCCATGTTTCCATTCTTCAAAGTGACACTTTGGCTTGACCTCAGAATAACTGAAATTATGGGGGCCAGTTGTGGCCACGTTTCCAAAAATAATAAGTAGAACCTCAGTCTCACTTGCGACAGCTAGCATGCAGAATGAGGCTTACTCTTTTCCCTGTATCTAAACCCTTCAACCAAATAACTATCTAATTGCCAATACTTTAAAGGCATAAGTTGATAAACTTTATGGTTCAGGTGATCTATTTTGATAGTCATCTGCATTGATATTTATTTGAGTTTAAAAATAGCACTGTAGCACTCCCGTTGTTCATCGAGTTGCTCGAGCAGGCACCAGTAATGTCTCCATTGTGAGACTTGTTGTTACCGTTATTGGCATCCCAAATACGCGGCAGGAAGCTTGCCAGACTCTGTTGTGCGGGCAGGATACTCTCGGTAGCTTGCTGTGCTCTCCGAGAGAGACACAGGAACCGAACCCTGGTTGGCCGCATGCAAGGCAAACGCCCTACCTGCTGTGCTATCGCTCCATGAAGCCATTTAAATAAAGCCTTAAAAATACCCTCTCTTGAGAACACAGGGGATTGCCCTGCCACAGAGGCGGGGGTGGGGGTGGGGGGATGGGAGTGGGGGGATATTATCCATGGTGATGGAAAATGGGCACTGGTGGAGGGATGGGTATCTGATCATTGTATAATCGAAACCCAAGCACAAAAAATTGTAAATCTACAACTGTAAAAAAAAAAGAAAGAAAGAAACAAAAAAAAAATTTAAAAAAATACCTTCTCTTCTCATACTATTCTCATGTTTAGTTACTTATTCCTTAAATTTTTGTTGAATTTTAATATATCTTGCTTTCCATTAAAATGATTTTTGTATTTATATTTTAAAAATTACAGATTATATCTTGCTCATTTTTGTATTTAGTAAAGTATTTTGGTTATATTTAAGCATATTATCAGAAAAGAACTTTTAAAATAAAATGTATTTACATAGTAATTTTTGTTATTGCTCAAAAATTTATGTATTAAATCAAGTATTTATTGAGAATTTTTTATGTGCCAGGAAATATATAAATACTAGATATCCAAAAATTGAGTCTAAGATACTTTTAAACCATTAATCAAATTCTCAGTGGCTGAAGTAAATAGAGCCAAAATAAATTTATCCAAATAGAGTCTTGCTCAGTTTTGTGATAACTTGATTTTACCCCAAAGTGGTTTTCAGGAATTAACTACAAAGGTGTATATTTAACTTCATTAAGATATATTTATGTATTCTTTCAAAGAACATATCTTATGAATTTTTATTACTGAGATTTCTTTCATAGTATATCATTTTGTAATTATAATATTTCAATGAAATGATATAATATTTTACATTATTTAGAAACATTTAGGTATATCTTGTATCATATCTATGACTTGATTATGCATGATTAATCAAGGAATCATGCATTCATGTTAAACTCTTTCCCACAGATTTAATAACAGTTTACATATATTTTAAGTTCTAATTTCTAAAAGAAAATGTATACATATATACATATATATGTGAGTGTGTATTAGTTAATATATCTATAGAATAGCAACATTTATACATTTTCTCATTCTTAAGATTGGTAGAAGTTAGTACTTGAAATTCATATACAGAAATAAAAATGTTTGGGTAGAATTGGGGAGGGGGGATGGTCATCATTGAATTCTATTTTTTTTGTAGAGCATCAAGGGCATGTTTGTTTTCTTTTTTGTTAGTATTTTTATATTCCTTTTTTGATAGCTGAGTTACCTTATAAAAATTGTGATGAAAATTTATTGTTTTATCAAATAAAAATGCAATTAAAGTAATTTTTTTCTCTTTCCTTTAACCTAGTATGAAAGCAAGGTAAATTTTAAATGTTTGCATGCCTTCTTCAAGTGCATGGGTTGGATAAATGCAGTTTCATAGAGATGCAGAAGCCAAGCGACATCTATGCAGCTTAAATCATAGTAGATTTCTTTCATTCGCGAGTTATGTATTCTAGATCATCCTCATGCTCCTCTTTGCTCACAAAGATGCTGCTTGCCCTCCGTCAATTGTACTGCCATTTGATTTTTGTCATGAACAGTGATGATAGATTCAATGTGCTTATTTGCTCAATGGCTTGTGCACATAGCCTGCTGGGCACACACACACACACACACACACACACACACACACACACACACACACACACACGCACACACACACACACGCATATATTCCAGGCAATACTGGTAAGGTTTATCAACACAATCTAGGATGGGGCTATAGTGCAAAGTGGTCTTTTGAATTGGACCCTGGACTCTGGCCTCCCTAGTACCATGCTATTTGCTGACCAATCAATTTGTGTGTGCCCAAGTGCTTACTACAGCCTTGTTGCTTTGTGCAAACCTGCAGATATGTGATCATTTACATGGCCTTTGTACCTCTTAGCAAAGCTGCTGATTCATTGCTATGTTTATTTACAGTTAACTTTGAGTCAGATAAAATAAATTTGAGAAAATGCTATATTTAAAACAAGCATTGACATTAATGGTAAGGACATTTTTACAGTCTCCTAGCTTTTTAGGAATATTTAAGTTCTTAGTTGAGGACAAGAATTTTCATGAAAGCTCTGAGTAGAAGGCCACTGTAAATGGCTGATTCAGCCCCCAATGTGTTCAAGGCTGGTGGCCTCTGACTAGCACTAATGCCTAGTGTTTTGCTATTTCACCACCTCACTGTGAAAAATTTATTGAAAGAAAATAAGTTGAAGGGATTCAAGACCAGTCATTTAATATAAAAATTAGACCATGAAGAAGTGAAAATGCAGAAAAAATAACCCTATTGTTTTAGCACAATGCTCTTATGTGGTCATTCATGCTATTTGCTCAGATGGTTAAAAGGCAAAGGCTGACTTCCCATGGAAATATATGCTAATCAAGCTCTGTAATGACACTGTGTAGCTTTCAATTTCGCCTTGGAGGCAAATAGAGAAAACAGAGACCTGTAGTTTCCATTAGGATTCTGATCACCGTATGTGATTACTTCTCTTGGGATTGTCATAGCATTGAACTTGTTAAATCAAATGGTTCTTTGTAATTCTGTGGAACAATGAACTTTATAACTCGTGACAGTGATTTTCATGATTTCCAAGACTTTTTAAATTTTCATAAGAGGCAAGAGAGATAGTACAGTGGACAGGGCACTTTCCAGCTTATCTTGCATGTGACCAACCCAGGTACAATCAGGTCCTGCAAGCCCTCCCAAAAATGATCCCCAAGCACTGAGCCAGGAATAGGCCAGGGACACCACTACGTATGGCCCCAAAACAAAATAAATAAACTAGTTAATTTTTCAAAATAAAATTTTCATAAATATACTTTTCTCCTTTAATATATAGAAGTAAAGGTAGGGAGATAGTATTATCTCTTGCATGCTGGAGCTCAAGGGGTTTTCAATCCTTGGTACTATATGGTCCTCTAAGCAACAAGCATGATGTAGCACTATAGCACTGTCCTCCTGTTGTTCATCAATTTGCTTGAGCAGGCACCAGTAATGTATCCATTGTGAGACTTGTTGTTACTGTTTTTGGCATATTGAATATGCCACGGAGAGCTTGCCAGGCTCTGCTATGAAGGGGGATACTCTCGGTAGCTTGCCAGGCTCTCCTAGAGGGACAGAGGAATCACTCCTCGGTCAGCAGCATGCAAGGCAATTGCCCTACCTGCTGTGTTAATACATACACATATTTGTGTATATAATATAGATAAACACTTAACATTGTAACATTGTAAGTGAAATTCTCTCATTTATATCACTTCATGCAAAAAAAAAATGTAAGCAAGATCCTTCCTTCATCCATTAGTTTTTCATGTTCTCCAACTAACTGAGTGATTAGAAGTATAACTTAGGGATAAATGAAAGTGATCCAAAAAAAAACAATCCCAAAGAATAGATAAAACACAAACCAATACCTGAAGTGACATAAATCATGTGATTCACATGACCAGGGTCAGACTATTTTTTCCACCTCATGACATGAGTTTTATAGTAAAATAAAAAAATAAAATAAAATTCTGGCACCACAGAACAATCAGAAAGTTAATCATTGTCCCAATAAGTCTAATGTTTTATATCTATTGGATAGCATCTACAGATGCTTCCTAATGCTAAAAAAAAAAAGTTTTACTTTTTCTATCACCATAGACCTGTGCTATTTAATATGGTAGCACTAGCCACAGGAGCCATTTAACTTCAAATTAGGGGCTATAGTGATAGCACAGTGGGTAGGGTGTTTCCCTTGCATGTGGCCGACCCGGGTTCAGTTCCCAGCATCGCATATGGTCCTCTGAGCACTGCCGGGACTAATTCCTGAGTGCAAAACCCTGTGCATCACCAGGTATGACACACTAAAGGAAAAAATATCTTGAAATTAAATCAAATTAAACAACAACAAATGTTCGGTTACTTGTGTTTTCAAAAGCTACATACCAAGTGGCAATCATTATGCGGGCTAGTAACTATTGATTTGGATGATGTAGAGCAGAGTGTTTTCACCATCTCAGAAAATTTTAACAGGACAGCCCTGAATTATTCTAAAGATGTACCCTCATATAGACATCCTGCTAGCTCTTCTCCACTGAATACATTCTGTGGGCTAGTATAAGCGGCCTCTTTTCTTGACTATTTACAAGTAAACATCCAGGGACCAGATCAGTAGTACAGAGGGTAGGGCACTTGCTTTGCACATAGTTGACCAAGGTTTAATCTTCAGAACCACACACAGTCTCCCAAACCTGCCGGAAGATCCCGGAGAGCAGAGCCAAAACTAAGCCCTGAGCACCCCCAGGTGTGCCCCAAAACAAAACAAAAAATAAATAAAACTAAAATTTCAAGGGCTTATTGAATTGTTTTTAATGTTTTTTTTAAGTGGGTCTCCAGATCTTTTTCCCCTGAACTCTGAACAAGATTTCATTTAATTATTTTTCAGTACAGAGTTTGACGGTGCTACCTATACCTATTATTTTCCCTCCATTGGGACATTTCATTAAGCAATTTAAAATCTAATTAAGAAGTCAGTACATTCCTCTACTTGTGCTGAAATTCTGAATTAATTGGTGTGATCATTTTTTTAAAAAAAGAAAAAAAATGCATAGTTTCCAGGCTAACGTTTGCACTTATACACAGCTTGAAACACACATAGTGGCCTGTGTATGTCAATATGCTTCCTATAACTTGCTTCTAATAGTCAAGGACATTTGCTCTATTTCATTTTTCTAACACCATTGCTTTTGTGTTCAACAGACCAGAAGTAAGTCTGAAGAAATATTCTGGCTGCCTCAGAGATATTGAAATTTCAAGAACACCTTATAATATACTCAGCAGCCCTGATTATGTTGGCATTACTAAAGGATGTTCTCTCGAGGTTTGTCTGTTTTTAAGAACTTCCTAAATGCATTTGTATCAGAATTCACTTCCTTAGCTTTGGTGCTCTTAGAGGGACCAGTTTCTTATGTATTTAACTTAAATTCCCACTAGTCAGAGCTTTAGTTATGCATAAATAGCAAGACTGAAGAACTTTTTTAACTTACAGCTGTGACTGAATTTAGGAACTAGTTTATAAAGACTCAAAGTTGCAAATGACTTTCTCACATGACTAGCCCTTCAGAATGGGTATTTTTAATATTAATCTTTTTTGTGATTCTCTTTTTCTTTCTTTTCCTTTTTCCAGCTGTTTAATATTTTTACATTTATTTCCTTTTCATGCATTGTATGTTTTCATCATTATTAGAAACCTTTATTGTATTTAAGTTTATACAAATAAAAAGTAATACTCCACACTGTAATCATTAGTAAATAAGATTTTGCCTACAGATGAAGTCAAATCCATTTAATGCCATAGACTAAAAACCATCCTCAAAAATATGATGTTGACAGGACTTCAAAGTCCCTTGTAATCAGATATCCTCAGTGTCTTTCCTTTGTTGCCAAAGCAGTTCTATACCCCCCAGATTTCTCTGGCATATTCCTCAATGGGGCTGACGCAGAAAATGAAACCCAGGTTACAACTTTGCTGTCTTAAAATATCTACCAGCCCAAGTCAACAATCATCTGTAGATGTTAGTGAGGATTTATGGTAATTCTAAAGCAAGAAAATTATTTGAATAAAATATTAAATATCATTGTCACTGTCATTCCTTTGATCGTCAAATTACTTGAGTGGGTGCCAGTAACATCTCTATTCCTTCCAGCCCTGAGATTTTAGCAGATTCTTCTTACTTGTGTTTTCCCAATGATTAAAAGCTCTGTCAGGGTCAGGGGAATGAGACCTGTTGTTGTTGCTGTATTTGGCATATTGAATATGCCATGGGGAGCTTGCCAGGCTCTGCCCGTGTGTGCAGGATACTCTTGGTATCTTGCCGGGCACTCCCAGAGGCATAAAATATTAAATGTATCATATTTATTAATTCTCAATTATCCTGAAATGACACAACTATTTATTGTAGCTGGTATATCCAATTCGCAATTGTTTTAGAGCATTACTCTAGTACTCAAGGGAGTAATGGAAGATTGAGAAAAATGTAAATAGTGAACTTACCACTGATCCATGTTTCTGAAAGAGAACCTAGAACCCAACTTTCAGGAACTTAATTATTTTATAATTCCAGATTTCAATTTGAACTCAGTTATAGATATCCTGAGTTGGATTCCCTCAGAAGCTGTGGGATAAGTAGAAAAGTAGAAAATACAGAACTAAAATGTTAAGGATCCATACTAGATTTTTTTAACTGATTGACTCTTCTAAAGCTTACTTCTCATCACATGCCAAAAATATAGACATGATATGAAACTGTCCAGAAAATGTATGTATGTACAGAAATGATAATTCTATAAAGTGCTTTTCAATAGCCAGGAATTATTTTGAAACTAAAATATGATTCACAAATTTGACATGGATATATTGGAAATATCTACAGTCATTTTATATGAATAGTTCTAAAGCCTATGTTTGATATTGGAGTAGAAAATAGATCATAGATTTTACAGCACATGTGTCACTTAACAGGACTTGAAACACTGTAGAAAAAAATATATTCTGTATTAAGATTCCTTGCTTTTACTCAAGAAAATTACAGAACTTTTAAGTGACTATATTAGGCATTCTAAAGGTCTTGCTTAAGGTAATTCTAGTATATTTATTAATTGGAAAGTCCTCTCATTAAAATTGATGATGAAATCTAGGTTTACTGATGATTGTTCTCTTACATATATACTCGGGGGGATAAGAAGATACAGTTGTATTTGCTAACCATTATTTAGTTAAATACAGAGACAAAGATAGGAAGAAGAAATAATTGCAAAAGATAAAGTAACTATGCATACATAAATGATTTACTAAAAGCTACGTGCTCTACACAGCTTTTTGATAGAAGTCACTTTTGCTTCCCCTTTTTCATGTATTAGTATTTAAAATGTTGCCATTTTCATTTTAGTATATCAAGGAAAACAATGTTATTTTCTTTTTGAGATAAATACTGAACAAGGAATGATTTTTTTAATTTTTTTTTTATTAGTGAAATAAGGAATGATTTTATTTGGTTTTGATAGTTAGATTTACATTAATTAAAAACACACCTGGAGTGTATTTATACATGTGCTAGGAATGCACATCTTAGCCCATTCATGTGAAAGGATATAGACACAGACCATGGAATTACTCATCTGTAAAATACAAAAAAAAATAATGACAGAAAATATCCAAGGGATAAATTGGAGTGTCTTCGAAGGAGATTTAGCAAGAAAACAGAGTAAAAGAAAATTTTCTCTGTGAATTTCCCTATAAATACCTAAATTTCAAATCCAAAGTACTAGACTAGGAAAGAGGTCTAAGCTTTTATCAGTGCAAACTGCTCAAAATATTCAGGGTTATTTCTGAAAACAATCTCTTCAGTTTTTCTTCAATTCTCTATGCAACTGGGTTTTCATACTTTCTAAAAACACAATATATGATTGTGCCACTGAGCATATTGGGAAATGGGGTGAGATAGAGAAATTCTTTGAATTTTTTTTTCTTTTTGGGTCACACCCAGCAATGCACAGGGGTTACTCCTGGCTCTGCACTCAAGAATTACTCCTGGCGGTGCTCAGGGAACCATATGGGATGCTGGGAGTAGAACCTGGGTCAGCCGTGTGCAACTCTGTGCTATTGCTCCAGCCCCATTTGTTGAACTTTTTATGTCTAATGTTTTCTTCTCCTCTTTCTTCTTACTCACAGAATATTTACACAGTGAGTTTCCTGAAGCCTGGATTTGTGGAACTCTCCCCTGTTGCCATTGATGTAGGAACAGAAATCAACTTGTCCTTCAGCACTCGGAATGAGTCTGGCATCATTCTTCTGGGGAGTGGAGGGACCTTTAAGCGAAAAAGAAGGCAAACAGGACAGGTATCCTCAAATTTGCTCAATAATACAATTTCTCTAATATGTACGTGAAGCTGCTGTATTATAAAAGCACTAGATTGCTCTTTATAGTGTATATTTATATTATTCTCTATCATTATCATCATAACTCACTAATCAAAAATGCCCATTTCTTTCATGCATGCTAGTTATTCAAATAAGTCAGTTATAGGCAAATTCACTATACTGTTTTTTCACATAAGTTTAACATATTAATATTCAAAATAAAAAATTAAATACATTCAAATTATATTAATTGTTTGCCTCTCAATTTAGTGTTTTATTAGATCTAGGTATATACAACCTAGGCCACTTAAATTTAAATTTGAATTTAGATGTATTGTGTAGTACAGTCTGTTATGCCTAACCCACTCCACCCTCTCTGATTATAGAGAAGAGCAGAAAACAGAACTGGAGAAGAAAAAAACAAATAGAATCCAACCAACTAGGCAGAGACTACAGTGTATGCTCAGTCTCACTGATGACCTTAAAATAAATTCTATACACTCTCTGTATGACAGTGAACTTCAGTGCTAATACCCTTAGTCATTTCATTCTCTGTAAAGCTATGTTGAACCAGAGCAAGAAGTTGATGGGATGAGCTGGAGACCTGGGTTCCAGCCACATGCTGTCTCAAGCACCTCCAAGGTATCACCCTAGTCATGAAACTTGGAGAAACTCCTGGGCGCACTGGTTCTTTCTCAAAACAGTTTAGTTTTGTTGAAATAGAGCAGTTCTTAGTTACCCAGATCTAACACCATAATGCTTTGCTGCCCTGATATTCCTACAATACATCCAAACATCTGTTTTTAAATAATTTTCTCATTTATGGTTTTTCTAAGTGAAAGGATTTGTAGAAAGTATTTAGACTGCCATGGGCCAATTAATGGAATTTTTACAAGTGTGACTTTAAACACAGATTTATCCTCATCATTCAAGCTATATGTGCATTTAAGACTACAGAGTAAAAACTCTGAGACAGATTCTTACAAAGAAAGGATATTTATTTCCTCGACTGTTGTCTTATAAGTAAGCACCACCTTATCCAAATTTTTCCTCTTCAGTGTATGTTCTTGAATAACCAGCTTTCAGGAGCATCCTTAAACAGAACATGATCCTCTTAAAAAATGAAAATGAAAAATATTAAGTATGCTAATACAAATTAAATTATAAATGACTTGCTCATGTTTAATCTTTTCATGTTAATGAGTATCTGGTTTGTAAAATCTCATCATAAATATTATCTGAAAGAAGAAATGACATTAAAAAGCCCATGTGTGGGTTAGAATCATGCTTGTTAAATGGGCTTTTTTTTTTCAAAGTGAACAATGTTGATACCCCTAGGATTATTCATGATTCTGTTCTGCAAAAGGGGTTTGCAACGTCAAGCAGTCAACTAAAATTTTTTAATGATCTGAGTGGTTTTCTGATGCCCCTTTAATGGACTCTCAGCACGAATCCTGCAGGTCCTTTGGACATTTTGTTTCGGACATGCTGCTGTGTAGAAGATTTATTTAATAATCTGGAACTCTGGTGTTTGACTAAAACCTTCTCCAACATTCTGGAAGCCTCAGTGAGCTTGTGAGCAGGTACTCCCTGTTCCACAAGAAAGGAAGCACACATGGCATCAGCTTTGGAGAGAAGGATGCATTCAAGCTCTCCAGGGTTCATCATCTGATCTCAAAACCACACTGGTTACTATAGAAACAGGAGCAAGAAGAAAGCAGGCATGTTTGTGAATTAAAAAAAATGTCTTCCTTCTTTCCAAATGTGGGAGACAAGTTATATGCTGATGATCGTGATCCATTCTACTAGCTCAGAAAACAACCTGAAATCTAAACATTAAAAATGCCAAGAGGTTGAGTGTCAGATCTGATTTCTAGAAGCAGGCTCTCCACTTGTGACTGCAAGGGAGAAGAGTTTTGTCGACACCCTTTGTTTTCTGATGGCCTTTGGGAGGTTGAAGCCCCATGCCAGTGCAGCTGTTACCTCCAGCAGCACAAATGTGCTCTGTAAGAGCCCGCCGTATTACTCCATCCATTTTCCACATGATCTAACAAGCGAAAAATGGTCAGTGATTAAAGAGATCTCTCCAGTGACTTTAAATACTCTGTTTTAGAAAATGAGCTTAACTTCTCAGGTAAGATCTCAGAGAGAATGAATCTGCAGTTTGGTCAGGCAAACTCTAATGTGAAGTCATAAATCAGACTCCTCTTTAATCTTGCATCACCATTTGCTATTGCAGGCCTATTATGCGATATTCCTGAACAAGGGCCGCCTGGAAGTACATCTCTCCACGGGGGCGCGAACAATGAGGAAAATTGTCATCAAACCAGAGCCGAGTCTGTTTCACGACGGGAGAGAACATTCTGTTCATGTAGAGAGAACCAGAGGGTAACAATAGCCCTAGAGTACTTACTGTCATAACTAACATGAACTTCCTTTGCTAGCATTTAGTCTCTGACAGCACCTTTGTGTGCATAGATATACAATGCATTGCAAAACTGTGGGGTAACTTAATTCATTCTTTACATTTTTTTACTTTAGAAAACCCATTTACCTTGGCCCTTTGGTGTCCAGTTCTTCAGATTTTTTTCAACCCTATGCAGCTCTCCTCTTTATCTTTGGGAAACCCGAACACCTCTTCTGAAGCTATAGATATGAAAGACCCCTCCGTCTAGCCCTCTCAAATATCCTCTTCCCAGATAATGTATGCACATAGCGAGAGGCACAGAATAGCTCAGCTGGAGGTAGCAGCCTTTGGCAGCTGCTTTTTCATTCAGGTTTCCAAGCACTTACAGCAGCTGCTTAGAAGCTTGTTACTGATCCAGAGGGTGGCAGCAGCTGTGGGACCTACTGAACACACTTGGTCCCTGCCCCCTCTCCAGTGTGCTGCATCCCTGCAGAGCAGCCGTGTGAGGGACAGAGTAAAGAGGAGGACCGGAGGAGGCCACCTCCTTCCGGGCTCCTCCAGAACTCTGAATGAGCTGGCAGAGTGTTCTAAACTGCTTTCTCGTTTCTCCAAAATGTTGTAGGACTTAATTTTTTTTTTAAGTTTTAGTTAAGGAAATGTGGTTATAATCGCATTCATGTTTATCATAGCGATGTACAAAGTGACTGTACCCAGCACCAGCAAATGGTCCACTCTTGTCCCTCTGTCACATCCTGGTATTATTAGAATTTATAATGGTAGGTCTTTCTACTTGGAGAATTATTTGTATGTTTTCATTAAAATATTGTAATCCAACTCAGAGTGGTAATTAGTTCAGAAGGACAAATAGAGGAAACGAGAAGCCCAGAGATTTCAACCTCCAAACCAATAATCCAATTGTTTATTCTATTTATTGTGCTGAGAATCTAGTAAAACAAAAACAAAAAAATTTAGAAATCAAATTTGATGAAACTTCCAAGCTCAGAAAATATTTTAAGTACAACTGCAATATACATGTGGTGATTACTCAAAAAAGCAAATACTCTTCTCAAATTAAAGACTCACATTTTAAAACTATTCCCTTGTATGAGTAAACCATGACTTGCGTAGATATGTAATGAAAATGTCTTATCTTCTAAGTAAGTGTTAAAGCTTTCCTTGGATTCTTTTCTTATGATATAGAGTATTAGCTTGTGGACTGAATTAATACTAAACATTCTTGCAGAGTGTCTTCTAAGAGGTTTAGAAACCATGATTAAGACAAATGAAAGATCAATATTTGGACAGTCTAAAAAATCTTACTAATCTGATAGATATTTCAATCATGGTCTCTGATGAGAAATGTAGTCATTTTTTTTCTTTTGAATTTAAAAGAAATGCTGTAGGATACAGAATTTAAATGTCTTCTAGATTTCTAAATTCCTGGTCTCTTGCCACACTTTAATTCTCCTCATTGGTGGAAAACATTTTTAAAGTCTTTAGACAATTTCAATAAGCAAGTGCAGAATTGAGGAATATAGTTGACAAAATTATCTGAAAAATATTATTTTATAGTCAAAGAATGCTGATGTTCCCAGTTGTGATATTATATACAAAGGTGTCCTTTTAACAGGTGTTTCTTTAAGAAGGGCATTTTATTATGCCAAATGCACAGCTGTTGGCCATCAATCCAACCTTTATTTGATTAAGCTCAGTGAAGAGTACATCACTGAAAACTGGTCATTCAGTTAATTGGCCATATAAACAAACAGTTTTGCCATTCACTGTTAATTAAAGGATAATGTATTGGACATATTAGAGTGTAGTTATGGCAGAACAAGAATATATTTGTTACAACAGTGTCTTATTCAGCATTCTAAGGTTAAAAAGCCCTCACCAATCCTTTAAGGGCTACAATGAACTGATTAACCAGAGATCTTTAATGACCCTAACTCAGAACATCCAGAAACATTTTTAAATGTTTTATAGACCTATTCTCTGGCACGCTCTGTGTAAAACACGAAGATTATATCCTTCATTCATTCTAAATGTATGTGAGATCTGTATTTATATCCTTTCATCACAGATAAGGGAATATTAAGTCAAAATCACATTGTTAGTCCATGAGTCAGGATTTAGTAACAGAGATGCGTGACTTTAACACCTTCATCTGAATTCACCAACTACTTATTCTAATATTTCTTTGTGACCTCAAATATTTATGTGTTTATATTAATTATGAGAGCCTTGTATTTCTTTTTGCCTGATGTTTTCAGGCCATAAGTGTCAATTACCATTTATTTTCCTAATATCCTGGCTACTATGATTTTTCAATACCATCTCAAAAAAATCCACAGGCTTTTACTCCGTAATTACCTTCTACCTCTCTGCTGCTCTTTATCCCCCTTCTTCTTTCTCTCTTCTGTCTACTCCTGCTTCTCTGCAATCTCACCATAGTCACTTTGAAATCTAATTCCATGACACTCTTGGTCCCCTGACTTCTTTTTTGCTTGTTTTTGTTTTGTTTTTATTTTTTGGTTCACACCCGGCCATGTACAGGGGTTACTCCTGGCTCTGCATTCAGGAATTACTCCTGGTGGTGCTTGGGGGACCATATGGGATGCTGGAAACTGAACCCGGGTCAGTTGCGTGCAAGGCAAGCGCCCTACCCACCATGCTATTGCTGCAGCTCCTCCCCTGACTTCTGTGACTCCTTTGCCTTCTCTTACTTCTTTTGGAGTCCATCGAAGTGGCCGGGAGTTCTCACTGGACATAAATATCAAACACTAAGAGTATTACCTAGATAAACCAGCTTGTAAGTTGTCACTTCTGTGGCAGTATTTTTCATACAGTTAGAAAATTAATCTAGACTCCATGATATTAGATCAGGAATTTGAAATATATATTGGGATTTAGAGGTTGACTCATGATTTAGAATCATGAATTAGCAGGTAGGGCATTTGCCTTGCATGTGGCCAACCTGGGTTCAATTCCTCCGTCCCCTCTCAGAGAGACTGGCAATCTACTAAGAGCATCTCACCTGCATAGCAAAGCCTGGAAAGCTCCCTGTAACATATCCGTTATGCCAAAAACAGTAGCAACATATCTCACAATGGAGACATTACTGGTGCCCGCTCGAGCAAACCGATGAACAATGGGAGGACAGTGCTACAGTTATTACTACTGTCACAGTCACTGTCCTCCCATTGTTCATCTATTTGCCCAAGCAGGCCCAGTAACATCTCCAGTTTGAGACTTGTTGTTACTGTGTTTGGCATACCGAATACATCACGGGTAGCTTGCCAGGCTTTGCTGCGCAGGCAAGATACTCTTAGTAGCTTGACGGGCTCTCCAAGAGGGATGGAGGAATTTAACCTGGCTCGGCTGGGCTGGCTGCACACAAGGCAAACGCCCTGCCACTGTGCTATCGCTCTAATTATTACTACAACTAATTATAATATATATAATTATATATTATGTATTATATGATTATAATAACCAATTATTACTACAACCCAAATATTTCTTCCTTATAATCTAAAGTATGTGCAATAAAAATATCTTTCAGATTTTTCTCAGGTGAATTATAAATGTCAGTGTATTTACTCATTTTAATATATTTTTCCATGTTATACAATTCCATAGGTGATAGTTTAGAGAAAAAAATTTAAAGCAATATTCCAAACAAATAAGAGAATGTACATAATGAAATGTTAAATTATTAAATTCCAAAAATCAAATAACTTAGATTATTATAAAAATAATTATACTATCACCATGCTAAAGATAATATGAAGTTTATTTGTGGTGCTTTTATACACAGTGTTTTTCAGTAAAAACCTGTTAAATAGATACTTAGCAGAGATCACACCAGAATTAAAATGGCATGCTGATAATGTTCCTTTTAACAAAAGAACTAGATTTATTACCCAAATTTGTCATTACTAGAGTGTGAAAATGAGCAAAATTCAGCAATGGTCAGGACCGGAGCAGTAGTACAGCTGGTAGGGCATTTGCCTTGCACTGGCCAACCCGGGTTCAATTCCCACCATCCCATATGGTCCCCCAAGCACCGCCAGGAGTAATTCCTGAGCACAGAGTCAGGATTAACTCCTGAGCTGGGTGTGACCCAAAACGCAAATTAAAACAAATTTTGCAATAGCCTTCTCACAGTGCCCTTATTAAGTAATAGAGCTCAGTACAAATTCTTAATTAACATTTTTCACTGTGTGGCATGCAGCAGGTCTTCAAATAATGTTTTCTCTTAAACCATCTCATTATAATGATGAAAAAACATTCTCTAAGAGAGCAGTTCTCAGTGATATCCCAAAGTGGTATTCTAAATGTCTCATAAAACAAACTTTTTGAATATTTATTTATGTTATATGTATTCAGATATAGTTCACTATCAGGCTATATTTTTAGATGACTTGCATTGATTACTTTCTGGTAAACATAATGATTCAGTATTTCTTGATATAAAAAATCAATCATCACAAATCTTAGTTATACATCACCACACTTAATACAATTATTTCCTATGATGAAAACTTTGAATATCTAATTGGCATCATTAAAACATAACATACAGGATTATTAACATGGTCACTGTGCTGTAGCATTCCATTCTTTGACTTATTTATATTATAACTGGAAATTTGTACTTTCTCTGAATTCTATGACTTCTTTGCCTTCTCTTCCTTCTTCTGGAGCCCACCAAAGTGGCCAAGAGTTCTAACTGGACAGATAAGAGTCTTGCCTAGATGCACATGCTTGAAAGTTGTCACTTCTGTGACAGTATTTCTCATACAGGTAGAACATTAAACTAAAGATAATGAAATTAGATCAGTAATTTAAGATGTATGTTGGAATTTCACCTATTTCACCTCCTTCCTATACCTCTGACAACTACCAGTCAGTTCTTTATATCAGTGAGTTGCTTTTATTTTTATTCTGAAAATAAGTAGATTCACATGGTATTGCCCTTCTTGTTCTGATTTTTTTTTCCATAGAACATAAGCCCTGAAAAAAAATACAAAGATCTTAGTGATGAGGCTGAATCTCTGAATTTTCATGAACATGTTCTCCCAGAACTGGAGAATATATGTGTGTGATTTCTTCATATCTTCTACTTTGAAATTAGATCTTTGCTTCTCCTCTTTTAACTCTTGAACCCATTGTTCATTTTGAGCCACAACAAAATCATTTTCTCCATCCTATCCCTTTGATTTATTCCAAAATGGACTGATTACTCAGTCATCTCATTGCCTCTGTCCCTTGGCTGGGCTCATTACCTTTAATTTTATGAGTAGATCTTTTTTTCCTTTTTATAAAATCAAGTAAGATGGTGTTTTAGAACTGGGTTTCTCACATAAGTATGTTGATTTTTCTCCCCAGATAAGAAGTGAGTTTTCAGTAATTCTTTCATAATCCTCAGGCTAGTGACTAATACGTATGACTAATAATCTTATGGTAACTCTTAGAACTGACACTCAAAACCTGCTTCTGGAATAAGTGGGAGAAAAAGGCCTTTCATCATTCTCATCATCAGAACTCTTTGTCTCCTTCAGATCATCACCCTACAATCCAAGAATTGTTGAGAATAAGTAGTATGAGGTCCTCGATTACTCATGTGTGAGATATTTCTCATAAGCAGATTAGGAAAATTAATGAAACAGACACCAAGGAAAATCATTGCCAGGAATAATTATCATGGTGTTCTTGCTTGGTTCTCCTGTTCAAAATCGGCAGTTACATTCTTTCTAAAATGTTGTTAAGTGTTCACTGTTGATTCCTGCAGTCTAAGCTCTCCAGAGTACAGTTTGTCCCCTAGCAGGAAGATAATTACTAGCACAAACCCAGAAATAAAGAGCAAAACAAAATGTGACCCCATGCTGTGCTAAACCCATTGAGCCTTGTACCATTAGACATTACTAAACAGCACAGAAGCTTCTACAGTCTCATGCGTTGGATTGTGGACCATTGTCATCAACTCCACCAAAGGCTAATGTGGCAGCTACACCATTTGCCCATTTCAGTAAACTTGAGGAGAGTTAATGAGGGAGGCAAGATCCATCTTAAGGAGGATAAGATTCTGAGAAACATTATCTTTTGTTCAATTGTAAAGTTTCCAATTATCATGGCATGGCTCACTAAAAGTGAAGAGAAAGGGATGAGGGCGCAACAGAGAGCTTCATTTCTGAACATATTAAGAGTTGCATTTTGGAACTTCTTTATTTTCAATGTTTTATCAGAGTCTTGACTGTTCAAGTGGATGAAGATAGAAGCCACACGCAAGAACTGACAACAGAACAAGCCGTTGAAGTTAAAAAGCTTTTTGTTGGGGGTGCTCCATCCGAATTTCAGCCTTTTCCACTCAGAAACATCCCTCCTTTTGAAGGCTGTATTTGGAACCTTGTCATTAACTCTGTGTAAGTGAACTTCCTTGCTACTATTATTATGTGTCTGTGCATGTATGAATCACTGTTGCATCAGTACTATCCAAAACTATGGGTATAAGGAAGCAATGAGAATCTTCAAGTTTAGTTTAGAAAACTCCACAATAGTCTGTGAATGAGGGATCAAGAAAAGAAGAACAAAATGTTTCATTATTTTTCATTAGCCCCATGGACTTCGCACAACCCGTGTCCTTCAAGAATGCAGACATTGGTCGATGCACCCCTCAGAGACCCGGTGAGGATGAAGATGGAGTAGGACCAACGGAAGCAGTTATCGAGCCCCAACCCGTTCCCACCCCAGGCTTCCCTACACACATTCCAACTCTGGTACATGTGAGTATTTGTATCTGGTGCTTTATAATCTTTTACCCTGAAGGTTCAGTCACTTTCAGAAGTAAGTTTCATCTATGATATCCTGTACCTTTGTCTGCTAGTCTTAGAGAATCACCTGCTAGCTGCATACCCCTACTCTCATTTTTTTTGGGTGGGGGTCTTTCAAGTGGGGCTCACGTGGCCCAAAGGTCCTCCTATGATTCTCAGCCAACTAGACTGTTGGTCTTACCTTTGTTTTTTTGGGGGGAGGGCACACCCAACAATGCTCAGAGGTTACTCCTGGCTCTGCATTTAGGAATTACTCCTATCTATGCTTGGGGGATCCATATGGGATTCTGGGGATTGAACCCAGGTCATCCACATGCAAGGCAAGCATTGAACCCACTGTGGTATCCCTCTAGTACCTGAACTTTTATTTTAATGCATGAGTCTGAGGATGTGGACTTTTCAGGTCATGCAGTGCCAGGCATGACCTAGGCCACCATGACAATGCTCAGTGGCCTATATGGATGCACCCTGCAATATTCAGGGGATCATGAGATCTCAGATATCATAATGGGGTTGGGCACATGCAAATCATGTTTTAACTCCTACATTACCTCTCTAGTGCTGTTTTTATATCTGCTTCCTTTAAATTTTTCTGTTTATAAAATGGCATGTGTCTAAAAAGAAAACAGGCACAGAATTGCAAACTTACATAGAAGTGGTCATTTCATGAAGACTTTTATAGAATGAATGTAACTATATCAATTTTTTTTTCACTTTTTGGGTCACACCTGGCAATGCACAAGGGTTACTCCTGGCTCTGCACTAAGGAATTACCCCTGGCGGTGCTCAGGGAACCATATGTGATGCTAGGAATCAAACCTGGGTCGGCCGCATGCAAGGCAAACACCCTACCCGCTGTGCTATCGCTCCAGCTCCTATATCAATTTATTGTAACTTTTATTTGTGTTTTACACTGTAGATCTCAGTTATATATACATTTGATATTTTATTCTTAAAAACTGCTAATATATTACTGAATATTTTAAGCTTTATGTAAATATGAATATCTAGCATGCCTATATTATTTTATATGCATTCACATACTCATACAAACATACATGGCATATCCTTGGATATGATTCCAATGTCGGAAAGGTTCAGATTACAGCATTCTACCAGGTTGACAAACTTGGTAAAGTTACTTAGCTAAATTGTCCTCAGTTTCTTCATCTATGCAAAGAGGATATCAATAGCATTCTTGTCAGAATATTATGAGGCTATAAAAAGATATGTTTGTTAAATACCTGGCATCCACTAGACATTTAATAAATGTAACAGTTACTTAATGGCAGCATTAAGAAGGATGAGAAAGGAGAGGCTGATAAAATCTGAAGGCCAAACTAAGCTGCCAAAATGAAGAAGGACAAAAATGACTGTCTGTACTTTCAATGCACGTACACTGACATCGTATGCATCCATCGAGGACCTGATGGTACAAGCATGAAAGATCAAACATGACATCATTGGTCTGACTGACAAGAGAAGGCATTAATCACATCACACCGTTTTCGACATTGGAGAAGAACTCTTCCTCGGAACATGAGACAAAAGAGGTGGCGGTGGTGTCAGTGTCCTTGACAACACGAACTTGGCTATGAGCATTGATTCATTTGAATGCCTAACAATTCAAATCAGATGATTATACTTGAATAGATGTGGATTACTGATGGCAGTTTCTATCTCCATTGTCTATTCACCAACATCCAATTATGATGGAGGAGAAACTGAGAAGTTCTACATGGAGCTGGAGAAGTTCTATAAAGAAGACCACACCTTGTACGAGATCATTGTGGGTGATTTTAATGCCAAGATAGGATCAAGAAGATCAGTTAAAGAACTCCACATCAGGACCCGTGTCCTAGAATGGAATGAACAGGGAGAGAGACTGTCTGAGTTCATCATGTCGACCAGGACCATTCATGGTAACTCACAGAGCCAGAAGGCCAAATCTAAACATTGGACAGGGGAGTCTCCCAGTGGATAGTTCCACACAAAATTGACCACATCATATTCAATCAATGGTTTTGCCTGACCGATGTCACTGTTGTCCCAAAATTCTAAACAGGATTGGATCACCAGCTCCTTCATGCAAAATTCTACTTCATGGAGCAGGGAGAAAGGGCCACAAAGTTTAAGAAGAGAACTCCCAGAATGACCACCAACTGGGAACTCTTTGGCACTTTTGTGGAAACAAGGGAAGATGCCGTCATTGATAACATTGACAAAGAATACAATCGACTGGTTCAGCACCTCCATGATTGTGCACAGAATGCTGAGGGAGATAGCCACAAAATGAGGCCTGTCTTTGAAAACTCTTCTTATTCACCAACATGGCTTGGCACAAGCCTCAGGCAACCGCAAGCAAATGTCCAAGCTTGCAAAGCAGTGCAGAGAAGCAATAAAGGAAGACTTCAAAGAGTGAAGAGCAGCAGTGCTGGCAGATGTGGCAGAAGCCAAGAAAAGCATTCGCAATGCCCGCCTGTCCTTTACCAACTCAAGACCAAGATGAGTGCCCTCCGATGTCCTGATGGATCTATCACATCTTCCAGAAGGGCAATGGAGAAGATTATCCATGACTTCTACTTGGATCTCTTTCATAGCCATGTCCACCTGCCCACATACAAAATTCCGCAGGATGGATATGTCATTCCCAATGTTCTCCCTTCTGAAATCCAACATGCCATTTTGTTGGTAAAGAAGCAAACAGCACCTGGCCCAGACAAGGTCAGACCTGAACACCTGAAGAACCTGCCGTCAGTACTCATCAATACACTGACTCAGCTCTTCACACGCTACCTGCCTGAATGTAAGGTTCCGCCCCAATGAAAAACCAGCAGGACTTTACTATCATACAACAAAGGAGAATTGGGAACTATCGCTCAATCTGCCTATTGTCTGTCGTATACAAGCTGTTCACTTGAGTCACCCTGAATAGGATTGGCAGAACACTAGATGAAGGACAACCATGCAAGCAAGCCAGGTTCCGAAAAGGATTCAGCATGATCGACCATATCCACACGATAACCAAGTTCATTGAGGTTTCTCAGGAGTTCAAGATGCTGCTCTGTCTAACATTCATTGATTTAAGGAAGGCCTTTGATTCTGTTGAGACGGAAGCGGTCATTGAAGCCCTAGCCAAACAGGGCGTTCAAACTCAATACATCAGGATCCTTCATGAGCTGTATTATGGATTCACTACAAGGATCTCACCATTCTTCAAGGAAGTGATCATCGATGTCAAGAGAGGGGTTCGGCAGGGTAATGCCATTTCACTGAAACTCTTCAGTGCCACCCTCGAGAATGTCATGCGATGACTGGAATGGGAAGGAATGGGAGTGAAAATAGACAGTCGGCAGCTACACCACCTTTTCTTTGCTGATGACATTGTTCTAATAACACCAAACATTAGCCAAGCAGCACCAATGCTGGCCAACTTCGACCGTGAGTGTGGAAAAGTCGGACTATAGCTGAATCTCACGAAAACAATGTTTTTGAGAAATGGTCTCGCTCCTGACATTACATTTGCTCTCAACAGAATGAGAATCTCTGAATGAAACAGTTATGTGTACCTAGGTGGAGAAGTTAACATGACAAATAACCTGGCATCTGAGTTGTGCAGGAGGAAGAGAGTGGCTTGGAACACCTTCAGGAGCGTTGAAGAAATAGCTAAGAGGATGAAGGAACTCTCGCTCTGGGCACATCTTTTTGATTTCACTGTTCTTCCTGCATTAACATATGCCTCAGAGTCCTGGGTCCTACAAAAACAGGATGAGAACGCTATTCGGGTCTCCCAAAGAGGAATCGAAGAAGCTATGCTTGACATATCGTGTTTCACTCAAATGAGAGAAAGAATCCTGAGTTCCAACCTCCGTCAAAGGTCAAGAATCAGGGATGCTGTCTCATTGGCCAAGGCATCAAAAATCAGATGGGCTGGAACACATAATGCAATTTGGAGATGACCGCAGGACTAGAGCCATTACCAACTAAATTCCATGGGACGTCAAAAGATTGTGTGGCCGCCCACCTACGAGATGGTCAGAATTCATAAAGACCCTGAATTTGTGGTTTGTGGTTCTTCGTGTTCCTGGAGCAAGCAGACCCCTTTGGGCTACACTAGCACGTGACAGGCATGAATGGAGACGTTACTGGTGCCCACTCAAGCAAATAGATGAGTAACGGGATGTCAAGTGATCAAGTGAACAGTTACTGAGAGTAATAATCAGGATAAATGTTAAGTGTTTATTATTGTGTCAGCCACTGGATAAAGAGTTTCACCCAATATTTCACTATCTATCTATCTATCTATGTATATATATATAATTCTCACAATAGTTCCATATATATATTTCATACCTTATTTTTGAGTTGATAACTAACTCAACCACTATCAGCCATTATATGGCAGAATAGGAATATTATCCCACTGGACCTACCGTTAATCCAGGTTCTCATTTCTGCATCACTCTAAATTTACAGTGGATTCCATTTCTCTATTGTGTACAATTTTGAATTTGTCTTACGTTTACATGGTATGTATTCTAAACTGTATGTTGGGTACCAACCATTCTTACTACTTTTTTGTTTCTTGAAATATACATTGAAAACAGAATTATAAGGCCAAATAATGGATAAAGTTAAGGTTCTGACTACATAAACTAAATTATTTTTTCCAATACCAACTGTGTTCTAGTGCATCAAAGAGGGTGTGTCTCACTGCACGTTGACAGCATAGCATCATATTTGTGATCCTTGCCACTTGGATAAAACCTGTTTTCTTAAGTGCAATTAGGAAATTACTGTTACTGGCACCCACTCGAGCAAATCAATGAGTAACAGGATGTCAAGTGATCAAGTGATCCTAAGTGCAGATTCTAAAATCTCTTAGAGGATTACTTTTACTCTAATTTTCATATTGGAATTGGGTATTCTTTAAAGCAATGTGCTCCTTTTCT